GAGCATTAGTTTTATTCCACATGTGCCAATGATTCTAACTCTGCCTCCCCCAATGTAGACTAAGGAGGCAAGAACACTATCATTTTCAATGCACTCAAAGTTGCTCAATGCTCTGTAAACACATTTCTCTTTTGAAATGACATTGGCTTAGAACTATGTCCAAAGGTAATGTCTTTTATAAAGTTTCTTTTAAAAATAGTTTTATTTTGATAATTAAAGAGATCTATTTGCTATACAATGAACATATCAAAATTATCATCAATTACAAAGTCATTTCTTTTCACATTTACTCCTTCTCCTCGAGTCCTTATTTAAGTTAATATTATGTAAGTATTTAATGTGATAATTACAGTCATAACTTACTTTTGACTTTCTAATTAAAAATTTTGATGCTGTGATAAAGCCTACATATTTATCACTTTTGCCATGCGTGTAATATCTGTTGGAATGCCATGACATTTATCTTGGACTTTGATATTTTGTTAAAATCTGCCATTTAGATTCAACTTTGTCCTCAGTTTATTTCAACATCATTTCTTGAATCCTTGAAATTGGGTACAATCAATAATCCTATGATTGTTGTAGGTAATAATTGTATAAATTCACTGTATAATGCCAGTAATATAATCAAGGCATGACTTGTAAGTTTATTTTAATATATAACTATTCTCTTTCAGTTATAATATATATTTCAGATGTGATTTGGAGTGAAAAATTTCTTGCTTGTCTCTTACTAAAAGATAATTCAAAATATTGAGATTTGCACAAACTCTTTTAACCAGGGCATCATCATAGCCCATTGTAGGCAATGTACACCCATCTAAAACCTATTTCTGGTATAAGAAAAGCATGACATTAGAAATTTTGGAATAATGGTCAAGCCAAAAATCAAATTAAATATGAAACATCTTTCATAGTAGCATCAAAGAAAATTAAATATTTAGGAATATATTTAATGAAGGAGGTGAGAAGCCTTTATAGGGAGAACTATGAAACACTGAGAAAAGAAATTACAGAAGATATAAACAGATCAAAAAAAACTTTGATGCTCAAAGATTGGCAAAATCAATATTGTTAAAATGTCCATACTACCTAAAGTGATTTATAGAATTAATGCAATTTCTATTAAAATACCATCATCATTCTTTACAGATCTAAAAAAAATAATTCTATGCTTTGTATGGAACCAGAAAAGACCTTGTATAGCCAAAGCAATCTTAAGCAAAAAGAACAAAATGGAAGGTTTCAGTCTACCAGACTTCAAGCTTTGCTACAAGGCTATAGTAACCAAAACAGCATGGTATACCACAAGAACAGAGATATAGATCTTTGGCACAGGACTGAGAACCCAGGTATAAAATCATCCTCATATCATTATCTAATCTTTGACAAAGAAAACAAAAACATACACTGGGGAAAAGAATCTCTATTCATTAAATGGTGCTGTGTAAACTGGATAACCACATGCAGATGACTGAAACTGGATCCCCACCTCTCACTTCTCACAAAAATCAACTCATGGTGGGTAACAGACCTAAACCTAAAGCATGAAACCTTAAGAATTCTAGAAGCAAATGTTGAGAAAGTTCTTATAGACATCAGCCTAGGCAAAGAATTTATGATGAAGACCCCCAAAGCAACCACAATACCTCTTATATTAACTTGTATGGAACTGGAGACTACTCTTCTAAGTGAAGTATTGCAAGAATGGAAAACAAACACCATATTTACTCCCCACTAAATTGGAAGTCATTGATCAATACTATGTAGACATACGGAAATATCATTCAGTGGAAATTAAGCAGGTGGAAGGGGGAGGAATAGATAGGTAAATTCACACCTAACAAGTACAATGCACACTATCTGGGGGATGGGCAAACTTATAACTTTGACTCAAATGATACAAAAGCAATTTATGTAACCTAAACATTTTGCCCCTGTAATATTCTGAAACAAAAAAATAAAGTTAAAGAAAGTAAAAAAACAGGAGATAAATAAAAGAAAATGGATAGTTGAAACTTGTTTTAATCTACAAATAAGCAATATTCATCAAAGGATACACAATTTTTTTGAGAGATCCAGATGGAATACTTGATTTATTACATTAAATTATTTTCAAACACAATTTTCTCATACTTAATATTTATTAGTATTATAGTAGATATACATACTTTTTATAAGTAATATATTGATAATTTTTATACTAACAATACAGAAAAAATTATTACTAATTAGAACTTTATGGCATGAGAACATTTTTTATAATACTTTTGATTATCTTTAATTGCGGACATATAAATAGGGTGACCAATAAAATATATTAAAGTATGAAACACCACATTAAAATTACTTGAGGAAGTATAATGGAAAATAAAAGATCAAAAAGAAAAAAGAACGATCTAAAGTTTCCTACCAGCAAAAAACCAGTTCATGTATGTTTTAAATGGATGATGATAGGCAACAAATCACTACAGTGTTTGCATTTTAATGGATACATTTAAAAAGTGATATTACACATTTATTTTTGAAATGTCTGTAGTTATACTATACTCTTATGTCATCTTGCTCTTGATGAAAATTTTAAATGTCAAGCATGTGTAAGGGGTTACATGTTGAATACAATTATTTTAGGGAATATATACACAAAAAATGTGACTACCACAAGACTATAAAAGCCTTAGCTGACAGTGCTGAGAAAATATTATTTTTGCCCCATAATGTCAAATATTTAAAATGTATCTGCAAAATTTTTAATTAAAAATCAAAGTAATAAAACGTTGAGCTGGGTGCAGTGGCTCACACCTGTAATCCTAGTACTCTGGGAGGCCGAGGTGAGAGGATTATTTGAGCTCAGGAGTTCGAGACCAGCCTGAGCAAGAGTGAGACCCCGTCTCTACTAAAAATAGAAAGAAATTAGCTGGACAACTAAAAATATATAGAAAAAATTAGCCGGGTATGGTAGCATATACCTGTAGTCCCAGCTACCTGGGAGGCTGAGGCAGGAGAATTGCTTGAGCCCAGGAGTTTGAGGTTGCTGTGAGCTAGACTGATGCCACGGCACTCTAGCCCAGGCAGCAGAGTGAAGCTCTGTCTCAAAAAAAAAAAAAAAAATTTATAATATGTCAGACTTATTCATCCATTCTAGAAGTTCAAACTAGAGTGGGGTGTAGGAGGTAGGGAGAGCTAAGAAGAGTGGGAGAGTGAAAGTGGAGAGGACATGAAGATTCTAGTGAAAGAAGGAGCCAAAATAAAGCAGAAGAGTTTACATTCATTCTGCAAGCATTTGCCAACCACCAAAGGCTAGCACAATGTATTATTATAGTTTATTCCATTTGACTTGGCATTTTTTCACCCACAGTTTATCATCATTGTGATTTTAATATCTTACATATCTGTAGTTTTTCCATTCACCAAGAGTTGTCACATATGTTATATTCACTTATTTGTGATTTTTTCATCACATACAAAAATGTGTATCAAGACCTGCCTATAAATTAAGTATGAATTGGGTTTTATGCAAGTCTAGGAAATATTTGTTAATTATATCGGTTTTAATACTGGAATTGTCATTATATGGAAATATTCTTATTAAACACTTAAAGTGTTTAGAGGTGAAAGAAGAAAAAAAGGTCTGCCAAGCCCCAATTTAGAGGTGAGCACAATAGAATATTCCCTACTCTTACACAGAATTCCATAAAAATAGATTCTGACACGCCAATTTTCCTTGGAAAGAAAATGGTATAATGCATCAGCATTAATAAAATATTTTTATATCACTCGAGCTAAATTTAAATAAGAATGTTCATCAGATAGAGGTCATTTCCTTAGAGAATACAATGAATAATTGGCTTTCTACTCTAGATGTTGAGTGAACAGTAAAAATGTATTACATGGGTTGTTATTCCCAAATGAACTGTTTTTTTCTCTGTACTAAGCAAATATAAGGATAGTTATAAAAATCAAAAGTTAAATTTTCAAACAATGGACAGATTGCCTCTAAACTTATTTTGTTTAAAATTCTGTGAGAGATTTCATTTCCTTGTTTCATTAAAGAGGCATTTAGGATGAATCTGGGGTGAACATATGTGATGCTTTCTGGACTGCCAAGAAGAGATTTGGGATATGGATTGACAGTAATATCCCTTTCTTAAAAAGTCAAGAATGTTGATTTATTTCTTCAAACCATGTAATTTATTTTGTTTTTTCTTAAAAATATTTAAAGCATTGATTAATAACCTGAGCCAATGGTAGCCTCAAAGTACCATTTTCTTTTAACCTTGAGGTACCATTTTATTCCTATTTTTTTAATCTTTTTTTTTATTTCAGCATATTATGGGGGTACAGATTTTAAGGTTTCAATAAATGCCCATTTTATTAGAACTCTAGAGGAAAAAGTTGGAAACACTCTCCTAGACATCGGCCTGGGCAAAGAGTTTATGAAGAAGTCCCCAAAGGCAATCACAGCAGCAACAAAAATAAATAAATGGGACATGATCAAACTACAAAGCTTCTGCACAGCCAAAGAAATAGTCATGAAAGTAAACAGACAACCTACAGAATGGGAGAAAATTTTTTCATCCTATGCATCCGATAAGGGACTGATAACTAGAATATACTTAGAACTCATGAAAATCAGGAAGAAAAAATCAAATAACCCCATTAAAAAGTGAGCAAAGGACTTGAACAGAAACTTTTCTAAAGAAGACAGAAGAATGACCAACAAACATGAAAAAATGCTCAACATCTCTAATCATCAGGGAAATGGAAATCAAAACCACAATGAGATATCACTTAACCCCAGTGAGAATGGCCTTTATCAAAGTACCATTTTTAAGAATTTGGAAAACTTGAGAGAGTGAATGAAAGAATACTGATGGTCATGGAAACAATCTGGAATTGATTTTTTTATGCTGGAAGTAGTTAATATGTTACAAAAATAAATGGTTGGCAATTTGCTTTCACTGCCAATCAGGTAAAATAAAACCCAGTGAGTCTGAAAAAGCACAGAGTTCAAGGAATCAAGGGCGCTCATCCTCTCCCCACCATGAGGGGAAACCAACTGCCCAAGCCAGTCTTGATTCTACTTTTTCTGCTCCTTCCCAGCGATGCTTCAGCTACTGCAAAACCGTAAGCAATATTCCCAGGAAATTCTGTCCTCCTCCTTATTTCTCATTGTTATCTCTTTAATCATTATTTCTTGATTTCTTTTACAATTTCCTATTGTTGAAGGGCTTGGAAGGGTCAGTAAGTTGTTGTTACTCATGTGGAAAGAGACATACTCCAATTCTAGAAAACTCAAAAGACATAGGGCAGTAACATTTGTGAAACATTTACCAATAAGAATACAGAATTCCTACCAAAAAAGATAAAACTTTCATTGGTTCACCGAGTGGGCTGCAGTGTTTTAGCCGCTGTGAAATGACTCAGTGCCTGTGTTTTCCCCCAGTCAGGGATTAGCAAGTTGAATGTATGACCTACAGACAAGCCAGGATTTGTGTGTCAGTTCACTCAGTCCTTCAGTAAACCTTTAGGGGATGTCAGTAAGTCTTGGGAATACAAGATTAACAAAATTCAGACCCTGCCCTCAATACCTCACATAATAGAAAAGGAGAGAGAGGGTGCACAGAAAATGAAATATATCACAACAACAGCAGTAGACATTGCAGCCATCTGTAGGAATATTCATGAGGAAAACCCAACTCTTCATGGGACCTGATGGAAGGGAACAGGCATCACCAAATTCTGCATAGAGAAAGTTGCTTGTGAGATAAGTCTTATGAGGCAAATAGAAGTTTTGCAGATAGATATGGACACTTAGGAAGAGAAAAAAGTGTATGCAAGAATATAGCCTCAAAAAGTGCAGCATATTTGGGTGATCGTAAGTGAAAAGCAGTGGCAGGAGAGTGGCATGTTGGGTCTGTGGTGATATGTCTGGTGATTAGCTTGACTTGTCTTCCATCACCAGAGAGTTAAAGAAAGAAAAGATAAAGTTGCTTCTGAAACTATAGTGAAAAGCAATTCAGCTTCTCACCATTTATTAAATGTTATTTTCTTAGTGTTTCCTAGAACAAAAATATTTATAGTATCATCCATATGAAACCCAAGACCACATGCAGACAGGTTCTTAATGGGTTCAATAATATGTTGATTAATTCACATATTATAAATTTAAAGGGTCTATCCAAAATATAGAATAATTCTTGGATTGCTTGCCCATGGCCATTAACAGGCTTTCTAATATTATGAAGCTGAATATTTCCACAATACAAGAGGAGCAGATTGATGTTTAATTTGGGGTTTTCTGAGTTCCGCAGGTCTTTTGGGTTGGCCTTTGAAGAATTTCTGAAATCTGGCTCTGCTTTATGATTGGTGACAAAGCAAAGCTTAACTAGAAAAGAGCCACAATAGTGATGTCTTTTTAACCTCTCATGGTTGATCCAGACCCTTCTTCCCCACAGGCAGTACATGGTGCTGGTCCCATCAGTGCTCCACACTGGCGTTCCCGAAAAGGCCTGTGTTATCCTTAATCACCTGAATGAGACAGTGACAGTGAACATGACTCTGCAGTATGAAACACAGAGCAGGAACCTCCTCACAGACCTGGTGGCAGAGAGGGATTCTTTCTACTGCAGCCCCTTCGTCGTCGGTGTCACTCCTCGGGATAAGGGTGATGGGGAGAGAGAGGATATTGGGGATATCTTGTATTCTGATCCCTCAAAACAGACACCCTAATGAAGGAAAAATGAGGAATACAGAAAGAATTTCAAATTAGATTCTAAGAATGAAAGTTCTACCTGATACGCTCACATAATATTTATAAACATATCTAGTGCAATATGTGAAAGCGAACTGTAGTTATAGCAAGGATGTCATTTACTCTTAAAGTAAATTTCTGAGGGTAAATCATGTTCATGCCCTTACAGATATAAACACTGAGATTCATAAAGTCAAACGGCTCATCTAAGATCTCACAATTAGTTGATGGTTGATGTATTGTCCTTTTAACCCTTTTTTAGTTAACTTATTAAATGTTTAATCATACTGACTTGGTACAAACGATAACATATAAGGTTGTTTTTGACCTTTGGAAGATAAAATTTAGTAATTATTTTAATACCACATATTGCTGTGAAAAGGCAAGCATCCCATTTCATTTACTGTCATGGCCAGATTGAAGAATTAGTTCATGTTATTGCAATGATATTTCCTCCTTCAATCAAATGAATGAATTATTACCATCATGTTACACAATGATAATTATCTACTTATAAAACAGGGGCATAATACTTTACTTTATCCCATACTGATTCTCAGGGACTAACCAGGAAAACAGAAACCCATAAAGGCTGAGACATTTGGAAGTGAGTATGGGCAGATTCTCCAGCCCATTTCTGTTTTGCAGATTCCAGAGTTGCCATCTATGCAGGCACTCATTGGTGTGCAGGTAAAAGGGCCAACTCAGCATTTCATTCAGAGCAAAATAATGCACATAACCAAAGCAGAGAACATAGTCTTTGTCCAGACAGACAAACCCATCTACAAACCAGGACAAACAGGTAAAAGGAACAAAATAGCAAGGAAAGCTTGGGAGGAGGGAGGAGTTATTCTTTTATTCTGTAGTCATTGAAATCCTAGCATGCTGTTACCGGCCTGAGTTCTTGTTGGGGATTTCATGGGAAAATCTCTGTGTTTCAGTGAGATTCCGAATTGTCTCTGTGGATATCAATTTTCGCCCTTCGAATGAAACAGTGAGTCTCATAAAATTGGATGAGGTTGGGGAAAACAGACAAAAAAATTCAGACCTATTCTTTTGGAAAACCTGAGACCAACATAAGGGATACTTAAATCTACCACAGAAGGATTTTGTAAGAGTACAACTACTAGAAGAATAACAGGGATCAGGGTCAAGTTAGTTCATTAACTGTCTTCTTCAAGTAAGTATTCAGTCGAAGATTTCCTCTTAAAGATTTCAGTTATTTTTGTTGAATAGAAAAAAGAAGTACATTTGATTTATCTCTTAAATATCATCCGCAAAACAAATATCATCTGCAAAATTAACTAATTATTTAGACCTTTTTACCTAAATAGGCTTCCTCAATTGTATGTTACCTCACAAAAGGAAAGTCATGACTTCTTAAGAGATGTGAGTCTCAAACTAAACATATACAGGGGACATTTTCTTGTTTGGATGAGAAATATAGAGACTCTTACTCTGTTCGACATACTCTATCAGTGCTAGTATCATGGTTTTCTCTTTCTAAATTCTATCAGATGCTCATACTGTTTCTTTCTCTCTTTTCAGTTCCTGGTCGTTTATATTGAGGTGAGTAGTACACTATACTCAATAGGAAAGAGGACTCACTACAGGTTGCCTTTCTACCTTTTCCTCTCCCTACTTCACCAAAACTAAACAAATACTATTTTCCCTATTTACCTTAAACTCTTAGAGAAATGGATAAGATGTAAATGAAGAAACAAAATTCTTTGGGATAAAGCAACAAAATTCTTTGGGATGATGCAATTTAGTGAACTTTTCAATATTTCTGGCTAAAATTGATGTGCATAATACCAAAAAGAAGCACTAGTATGAAATGTCATCTGTAATATCTCATAGCTGGTAAACTTATTGCCTTATTCTCCATCTGGAATTCTTAGAAAATTTTGCTAATACGTTTGGTGCCAATTTGCCAACAATCTGTGATACACCTCCCAATATCATTCGTACCTGAAAAGCTGCCCCTGTAACTCGAAAGTACACATTTCAATTGTTTCTACGAATTCAAAATATTTGTACCTACAGAATCCCAAAAGAAACCGAATTTTCCAATGGCAAAGCGTCAAATTGCAAGGGGGACTCAGCCAGCTCTCTTTCCCGTTATCAATGGAGCCCATTAAGGGTTCCTACAAGGTTGTGCTGCAGAAGGAGTCAGGAAACATAGAGCACTCCTTTGAGGTGGATGAATATGGTAAGAATTCTACAGGTGTAAGACATTTATGATATCCGAGTATTTAAGATTGGATAAATTTTACATATAGGTAGCAAGCAGTGGTCTAGCATACAATAGCTGAAAAATGGGAAGCCTTTTTTATTCACCTGGATATTTGCTAAACACTTTGCATGCAGCACTTCATTTAATCCTCACAGCAGTCGTCTGAGGCAGATACTATTATTATCTCCATTTTACTGATAAGCATATCAAAACTAGTTAGCAATTTACAAAATTGCACAGCCAACAAGAGGCAAGAGATTTGAATAGGCCTGCGTGACCTTGTTCAAACATCAATTGCTAACCGATACTTGTGTCATCTACGCACACTAGATATCTGTTTCTGTATCTTATAACTGAAGGTGTTTCCTGGGATTATCCCATGGCTGTCTATAACCTACACCTGCACTACTCTAACCACCTATGATTCCTAAGTCATAGTAATCAACTAAACTATAGCTCAACTAAGTACAGCAATTAACTAAACTATAACATAATTGATTTAGTATTCAACCATAGCCAATTACTAGGTCAGGCATTGAAACCATCTTATTCATTATCAGTTATGTATATTTTTAATGTAAATTAAATATTTTATGTCATGACTGAGGAGTCCTATGAGAAAAGAGGATTTCCAAGACTTACCAGAACTGTGCAATAAGAATCACAGAATAGGCACATATTACAAGAATAACACCTTACAGAACTGTGAAAGAAGCTAGAAAAGCAAGGATCCCTCAGAAGGAGTTAATGCATCAGGGAAGATTGCCAACCAGTCCTGAAGCATCAGGGGGAATGAATAAAGCAGAGCTTGCAAGAGATCTAGGAAGCCAGGCACCGTCAGCTGCCTGAGTGCACCGTGCAGGGGAGCGGATGAAAGAATCCACGCAAGACTGTGACCTCGGCACTCTGCAGGCTACCACTTCAGTAGTCCCTTAGCCAAGGTCTGCGGGTGGGCCTGGGGTCTCTACCAGTCAGCAGAGCTAGAATTTGGGAAGAAGAGCTGAATACAGGGAGGAAAGAATAAAGACAAACTGGAACCAGTTGGCCCTTCTGTTACCACATGTAACCATGATGATCTTCAGAGACTAACAGTGCCGTTTTCCTTTCACTTTTGAAATTTTGCACAAATGTAGAGAAAGAGAGTCTAGGAAATGTAGCACCAGCTTAACCAAGTTAGCACAGTACAAACTACCCATGGTGACAAATGGCATCTCTTTGTCGGCATTGTCCCCATTACAGTTGAAGTCATTGAATTTGACCCTATGTTATAAGGTTCTGTAATAGAATCCATTACTAATACTCACAGGATCTCGTGTCCACTCTCACCTCTTTTTCTCTTCTATTGAAAACAGTTATCCCCAAATTTGAGGTCCAAGTGAAAATGCCCAAGATTATTGGTTTTCTGGATGAAGACTTTGTGGTATCTGTCTGTGGCTTGTGAGTTGCATTTTTTAAAATTTCATTTCATTTCTATATCTGTACTTTAAGAGAATATATTGTAAATAACAGTTACTGAACTTCAAAGTATTTCAATTAGGAGAGGAATAACTCTCTTTCCTAAGCTCCCACTAGGAAGCAGTGACTGTAGCAGATGATCATTCTGCTAATAACAAAATCATTTACTGGATATTTAAAATGTGCCACACAATGTTCTAAGTGCTTTGTATTATTAACTTATTAACTTTTTCTTCTTATACTAACCCTATGAGATGTAGATAATTATTATCCTCCATTTACAATGAGGACACTATAACCTGAGCAAGGTACAAAAAAAAATAATAAATTGCTCAAATTACTGCAGATAGTACATAGCTAACTGGAATTTAAATCCAGCAGTCTGGCTCCAGACCCCAAACTCTTCACCACTATGCTATTTTGCTTCTGCAATTTAACAAAGGCTGACTTTATGAAGCATTCATGTATCCCAGGACCTGTGCTAGACAACCTAGGCCATCCAGCTGTGGAGCTCATGCTCATGTCTTCCCTGTTATCTCCATTCTCTTTGTTGATCCCAATTCTTAAACTATGGAAAATAGTTGGAAAGTAACTAAACACACATTCTGCCTTAAATCCTGGATACATATGGTAGAATTAAACATGCATATATTATACTTATTTCTTCCCTGTTTGCCTTTTCATGCATTGGAGCATTCTCCATATGCAGAGGAGAGAAATGTTTCCTTTTGCTTTTGAAAGCAGCATGAGAAACATATTTGCATCCTTCTCACCAACTTTGATGCTTTAAATTTTTCCAACAGAGGGAAAGACTTTTGATTCAGACTTAAAGATAAAATTCCAAAAGCAACTGAAATTTAGTAAATGGTTTATTAATTTATCAGCATTTATAGGAAGCTAGGGGGAAAAGTTTGGGGCACTGAGGCTAAATCTTATCGACCTCACAGTTTGGGCTAAGGCAATGGTTTTCAAGCTTCAGTGTGCATCTAAATCTATGGAAGATGCTGAGTAAAATGTAGATTCTGTGGCCCCACCTCCAGAGATTATCATAAATTTAAGAAAAAACCCAGGAATCTGTAACTCAATGTGTATCTCAGATAATTTCAATGTACATAGTCCACAAAACACAATTCAAGAAACAATAAAATAACTTTGGCTTTGCATCATATCCTTCCATTATATTTGGCAGAATAAAATTGAGTTATTATAATCCTATTTATATATAACATTTTTGTTTTATAGCTATTACTTCCCTACCTAACTTCTCATTTATCTTCTTAAAATATTTATAAATTGGAAAAGACTTAGAAATACAATTCTCACATTTCCTCAATTTTTTTTTGCCATAAAGTGACTTAGGTGGTGTTGTCAAAGCTGGAAGCAGAGCATAGATAATCCGACAGCAGAGAAAGAGGGAAGTAGGACAATCTTGTAGCAAAGCCTTAACTGAGAGGGAGGAAAGATCTGAGAAAGACTTAATTAATTAAGTCTGAGAAAGACTTAATTAATTTTCTCTTTGGTGGTATTTTAAAAAGATTCATTAAATATTTTTTTCTTAGAGTTATAGATAATTGAGAAACAATCTCTCAGAATAAGTGCTTCTAAAATGCAAATTCTATGAAAGGTAATAAAATTGGTTTAGATGATTAAGGTGGATGTATGGATGGGTCAAATCAAGTAAAGAAACATCTGCATTATTTATGTTAAATATCTTTGTATGACTATTTTGTTCTTATAGATACACATATGGAAAGCCTGTCCCTGGGCTGGTGACAATTAATGTGTGCAGAAAATATGCTCCATATTTTTCTCTATATGGTACAAATGTGCACCATACCAACTGTCGTAATATTTATCCAAACCATATCTGTGAAGAATTTAGTCAACAGGTATGTAGAAACAACACTCCCCAAACCACTAACATCAGATCTTGTTTTCTCATGGATTACAATAGTGAATACAATGCAATAGAGAATAGTGTTTGAAATCATCACCAAGCAAAATTGTGGAGTAAGGCAAAAATTTTAAGATTGCCTAGAAGTGTTAGGGGCCCCTTGATTGCTGGGCTCATGGGTTTATATTGGTATTCATTTGGCCAGTTTGTAATTTCTTATCAAAAGCAATCAACAGGTATAAAGGCATAAAAGTAAATGGAAATATAAAAAGTTGCCTTTAATCAAATAGGTGACAGAGGAATGTGGCAAGTGTTGAGAATTTGGCTAGTAGGAGGATCAAATGCCATGCCATGGAATCCAAACTGCATATGAAGGAGTATTAAACCAGCACTGGGGCCAGGCACAGTGGCTCACGCCTGTAATCCTAGCACTCGGGACGGCCGAGGTGGGAGGATTGCTCAAGGTCAGGAGTTTGGAACCAGCCTGAGCAAGAGCGAGATCCCATCTTTACTAAAAATAGAACCAAATTATTGACCAACTAAAAATATATAGAAAAGATTAGCCGGGCATGGTGGCACATGCCTGTAGTTCCAACTACTCAGGAGGCTGAGGCAGGAGGATTGCTTGAGCCCAGGAATTTGAGGTTGCTGTGAGCTAGGCTGATGCCACAGCACTCTAGCCCAGGCAACAGAGTGATACTCAGTCTCAGAAAAAAAATAACCACCAGCATTGGGTTGAAGAGAAGAAGACCTAGTAGAATAATGGATTGGAGGGCCCAGTTATATCAAAGAAGAGGTGTAATCAGCATAATTAAGGGAAACAGCTGAAGGTAGAATATGCTGTATTTAAAAATTCAGTGCAAAACTACTGATTTCAGAGGAGGAGGGTGTAAAATCCAGGGTGTGGCAGTGTGAGCAGGCACTGTAGGATATAAAAAAGAAAGTTATCAAAGCTGCAGAAAACAAATAAATGAGAGGCCAGAATGATAGATATGATAATAAACATCAAGGTAAATATTTACAAACAAGATAAACATGAGAAGGATCTAGCTTCCGAAATCTTTACTCTATCAGGGAGACTAGGATTAATGTTTATTTTCAATCAAGTCATGACATCATGTATAATTAAATTAATTATAATTACATTTTATTATGCAATACATATTTTCATGTAAATCAGTTTAAAATGACAACAAATCTTTATTAAAACATGCATCCCAACATTTGTGGAAGTCTGAGATTGCTACAAGGATTCATCTATTCAATGAAAGTTTGTGTTCCTATTAATGTCCTAGACATCGGGAACATGCAGTTAAGAACATGCAATCTTTAGTTGATTTTTAGGTAGAGATTGTTACAGAAGGCTTCTTTTAAGACACTATGTCTGAGTTAAGTTTTGAGGAGCAGTAACTGTTGGCCAAGGTAAGAATGGGAAAAAGTTATCATTTGAGGAACATATGCAAAGAGAGAGAATTACAAAATATCATGGCACATTTGGAAATTCTAGGAAGTTTAATTTAGCAGAAATGAGATCCATTTTCAGAAGACAACGGAGAAGGCAAAGGTTGACAATGACTAACTCGGTTATTAATGAAGAAACTTTATGTCATTCCTGGGCTTCAGAAAGCATAAAGAAGATTGGAACATTTTCAAAATTTATTTTTATGGCCCATAAAAAATTTTCATAGATTGATAACTGACTTTTTTTGATAGCGTATCGGAGGACCCAGGAATTCTCTTCCTTTCTCTTCAGGCAGACAATAAAGGATGTTTCACACAACTCATAAAGACTAAAGTATTTCAGATGAGACAAAAAGGGTTTCACCCAACAATACAAGTGGAAGCCAAGTTCAGAGAGGAGGGAACAGGTTTGTATCATTTTTAAATATTTATTAATTTAATATACATTTATAAAACTCCCATTCCATGTAAAACACTATAGTTTCTAGTGATTAGGAAAAGAATATGGTCTCTGTCCTCAAGGAATTAAGCATCTAAGAATAGAAGTGAAGAGTGTGTGTGTGCATAGCCATAATAAAATTTCTCCGAGAAATATAAAAGCCAAGGGCCAAATAAGCATGAAGTGAGGTAGTTAATTCTAATATAGAGCCAGAAGAAAACCTTACGGATAAAGTAGCATTTCAACTGATTTATATCAGGTAGCTAACATTTTTAAAGATTAGTGATGGACAGGGAGAACATGACAAGCATTTAAAAATGTGTTCAATTTCAGAAGAATCTGAAACTGTAGGCTGCAGGTAAGGTGTGAAAGAAAGTAAGTCATCCACTAAAGAGTTTAGACTTTATTCTGAAAAGGACTGGATACTTTTAGATATATTTGAGGAGAATGGCCTAAATAAACTGATATTTTAAAAAGATAATTCTAACCTGTGAAGAGCACCAGTGACAAAGATAGGGCTTCACAGAGGTGAATGAGGGCTGTCTCCAGATCTTACCCTTGGCCTACATCATCAGTGTCACCCAAAAAAGCTAGGATAGGGTTGCGTCCAAAGGGCAAGGGTTTATTTGGACAATATGCCCCTTACATGTATTACACAAGCTATATGACTAAGGTAGGCTGCTTCACCTCCCTGGGCTTTAATTTCCTCACCTATAAGATGAGGACAAATGAAGTAAACCAGTATGTTCAGACGTGAGTTCCCAATACATCAGTCCTTTGAGTTGCTCCATGAAGAAAAGAGTTCCGTGGTCTAAAGCAGTGGTTTTCAAACAAGGGCAATCTTGCCCCTCAGAGAACATTTGAAAATGCCTAGAGACATTTCTGATTGTCATGACTTGGGGAAGGGAGGCTGCCACTAGCAACTAATTGATAGAGGCTACGGTGTCCCTCACCCCCACCCCAGCCACCATGCACACATACTAGAATATTTTTCAGCCATCGAAAGAATGAAAGAAACATATAAATAATTCTTCACTGTCAATATTAAAAAGTTGACTTTAAAAAAATTAGCCAAAGACCTTAACAGGCATCTCACCAAAAAGTATATCTGTATCTATATTTATATACACACAAAGGAATATTATTCAGCCATTAAAAGATCCTGTCATTTGTGACCAGGAGGACATCATGCCAAGTGAAATAAGTCAGACACAGAAATACAAATACTGCATGATCTCACTTATATGTGGAATCTAAAATAGTTAAGCTCGTAGAAACACAGAGTACAAGAGTGGTTGCCAAGGACTTGGGGAAAATGGCAGATGTTGATCAAAACACACTAACCTCCAGTATAAGATAAATAAATTGTGGGGATCTAATGTGAAGCATAGGTGGTGATGGATGTGTTCATTAATTTGGCTGTGGTAATCTTACACAACATACATCAAATCAGCATGAAATGTACACCTCGAATATATAGAATCTTTATTTGTCAGTTTAATATTTTAAAAAGTAAGGATGAAGACATGGAAACGTAGCACAGTAAATTTTCTTTAACTCCTCACACAAAAAGGTTGTTCTAGCTGACCTAAAGGGGATAGACTAGATGAAAAATGTGCTACAATGTAATACATCAGAAGATTATTCAAGGATGGCCTCAAAGATTCCAAATTTCGGGCCTGAAAAATGGAAATATCATTGCCAGGACTGGATGAAAAAGAATGACAATTGTGATGAGATATGTCAAAGATAATTAATTATAATTTGGAATATCAAAATGAAAGTGAATTTATTCAGCTGATAATTTTAAAAAGAGCCAGAGCAAAAGCAGAACCAGGGATGTAAATCTAAAGCCATTTCCATTGTGCCTATATCCTCTCAAGAGTAAATGCAATTGCTCTGAAGGTGAACTCATATAGCACTGCTAAATTTAAGATAGAGACAAAGAAGGGTCCAAGCATGGGAACAACTATATTTAGGACAGAAACAGTAGAATGTAAGTCAGCATAGTAAAATTAGAAGTCATAGGGACAGGGCAAAATAAAAGAGTACAATTTTTTAGAAGCCACTGGAAGGAAGAGTTTCAGTGGTACTTTAATATAAAGTACTACTGTGAGTTCATGTGTGATAAAGTCTGAGATGAGAATACAATATAGGCAGCAAGTAAGGGATCTTCTGAACTTTGGTAGTGTGGTGTTTTAGATGATGAGAACAAGAAACAGATTACACTTCACTGAAATGAAAAAGTACTAGGTGTTGGCTAGACTGTGGATAGGCCACACAGTGAAAAGAAAGATCTTTCTGGGGAAGTGGTTGTGGAAGAAATTTAAGGATAGTTTAAGGCCAATGTGAATGTGAAGAATCTAATTGCATGCAGAAAGAGCAGGAGTGAGGGATAAAAACAAAGATAGAGAAGATCACAGATGAGGAGATGAGAATTGAATCAAGAACACAGGTGGAAAAATAGGAAACTTGCAAAACCAGAGGAATTAGGAATTATGGATACCAATAAGGTTTTATATGAGGTGAAGTTAATGTCAAATTGCTTGTCAAATAGCTTCTGTCTTCTAAGTGTGTGAAATTCTGGAAAGAATAAGAAATGAGAAGTGGATGGTATTTTGTTATGATGGAGTGAGGCTAGAGTGGAGGTAGGAGGCAAGTTCTGAATACATAGAAGTTCAATTTCACTTCTTTTTCAGGGTTGGAATTAATTGGGCATGGATCATGTGAAATCACAAATACCATAAGCAAACTGAAATTTACTAAAGTGGATTTATATTACAGACGTGGCCTCCCTTTTTTCGGGCAGGTAAGATATTCTTTCAATATAATCATAATTTGGGGCAAAAGTCTTACTTTTAAGAAAACTAGTTTTAAAATGACAAAATCAAAATTTATTATGAAAATAATATTTTTAATAAGAAAAGAAATTATAGTAATTTACTAATTTAAAAAGCAAATATAATCACAAAACCAGGAAAACAAAGCATATTTTTATTAATTAACTTCCTAACACACTTCTATAATACATTTTTCTGTTGGTTTGGCTGTATACTCTTTGATTGCCTTTTATAAACAATGATTTTATAATACAATTTTTATAGAAGAAATAAAAAGATGCCTGTCATCTAGATGGTTGAACTTTTTTGTTACTGATAGTTTTTAAAAGTTTCTTTCTGCTTCAAAACTCACTATCAATAATATCAATATTGGTAAATTTTATAACTGATAATTCAGCTTATTAGACAATCAATTTTCTGCCATATAAGAAATGTAAGGTTTCTAGGCATTTTTAATCTAATTTTGTAATAACTAATCTTTGAATTGACAGTCTATGGGCATTTTTTCATTTTATATTTTGAATTTTACATTTGAATTTTATATTTTCTTCATTTATTCAAATAGTTTATATCAAATTACAAAGAAATTAATAGATATATAGATATAGCTTGGCAAGGTATTTCAGGCAGAAAGAAGATCATTAGAAAATCAACAATTTGAAAGATGAGTATGACTTGACCAGAAATTTAAGATAAAAGGAAGAATGGCCAAGGCCATAGGGGTGAAACAGCTTTTCAAAGCCAAAGAATTAAAATGTAGTCAGTGTGAGGGAAGCTAAGATAGGAGGTGTAAATAAACTGACTGAATAGTTGCAGGTAAGCTAGAACAGTTCTTAAGGGCCTTTTAGGATACAGTAAGAATTTTGGATTGAGAAGTGAGTGTGGGTTTTTAGGAGAATGACATGACCAGATTAGCTCAGGCTGTGTAGAGAATGGTTTGGACCAAGCATGAAGCAGCAAGAGATCAGACTGCAAAAGATTAAATAGAAGCTATTGCAAACTAAATGGAAAAAATATTGTAGTTTTAACTAGAATGGTAAAGCAGTGGATTTGGAGAGAAATAGATGGAATTAAAATATATTTGATGAGGAGGTGGGGTGGTGACAGCATTCGGCAGTGAATTAAAGATAGCCAGTGAAAGAGAGAAAATTACTCAAAAAAAAAAAAAAAACCCTCAGTGTTTCTGCATCACTACTGGATAGATACAAGGACAATATACTAAAATGGAGAACACTGGAGCTATAGACAATTTGGGAGGGTAACATGATCCCGCATTTGGATATCCTTGGTTTGAGTGCCCATAAATATCCAAACAGAAATATTAAAAAAATGTTGAAATCTATTGCATGGCAAGGTGATCATAGTTAATAATAATGTATTGTATATTTCAAAATAACTTTACAGCGTAAATTTCAAATGTCTCACCACAAAAAACGGTATGCGATCGAGGTGATAGATATGTTAATTAGCCATATGTAATCAACTCCACTTTGTAAACACGTATCAAAACATCACATTATACCCCAGAAATGTATACAATTATGATTTGTCAATTAAAAGTAATAATAGAGAATAAACTACTGTTCAGCTTTCAAAATCGTTTTAAAAAGTATTAAAATGAAAAATCATAGGATAGAGCTCAGAAAACAAGTCTTGTTTTCAGATTCTAAGCTCTTCAGAAATGACCCAGTGGTAAAGAGGTGAACACGAAAGAGTAAAAGGTGCTACTGCCATGTGAAACTTTAGCTATGACTTTTATATTTCTAGGTGCTGCTAGTCAATGAGAAGGATCAGCCAATCCCCAATAAAACTATAGTTGTAAACACGGGAGCCACATCTGAGTCCAGCTTTGCTACTGATGAGCATGGTTTGGCAGACATTTCCATAGACACCAGCAACTTCACTTCCTCCATTATCACAATCACGGTACGTGGATGGGGCCACGGTGACTAAGAAAACAGATCACTGGGGCCAGAGACCTTAAGGATATAAGATGAGCATGTGAACTCCAAGGATAAACAAAGAGATGATAAAAGAATGAAGTATAAATTAAACAATGTGGAGACCTAAATTATAAAAAACAGAAAATTCTTTGTCAGAGAACTTTTACATAGACTGTTGACAATATGGTTTAGTTTCTGGAAACATTAAATAGATCATCTGGGTATTCCCTTGAAAATTTTGAAATTTTTATAATTCTAATACAAGTTAGATTTTGCTTGGTTTCTTTGAAATACTATTACTATTTTTGTTTTGTGTTGAAATATTCAAATGTTCATATGCAACTTATAGCCATAACGTTACAAAAAAAATAATGGACCTTAATGGTGAATGAATGACATCTACTAAATCACCACAGCCTATGCTGTCAAGGGGAAGCTGTTTATAGATTATGCTATATTTAAGAAACTAGCCTTCTTAACATGGCTTCATTATGCTATTATGTATATAAACAAAGAGCCTATTTATTCTTCCATTAGGTGACTTACAAATATAATGACAACTGTTTTGATAGCCGGTGGATGGATGAATTTCATTCACAAGCATTTCACACTGCAAGGCATATTTTCTCCCCGAGCCAGAGTTATGTTCACCTTGAACCTGTTGTGGATACTTTGACCTGCGGGCAAACCCAGGAGATCCGGGCACATTACATCCTGAATGAACAGATTATGAAGGATGAAAAAGAGTTACCCTTCCGTTATTTGGTAAGAGTAAGAACCACCGTGGCTCCTTCTGACTGTGTAGACTCCAAAATTGCTGATTTTTGAAGTAGTGCCTTTTATAAGATATCAAATTTAATACCATTTTTTGTTGTTTTTTTATGCCTGAAGAAAAGTTACTCCCTAACAAATGTAAATGCTTTAAATTCTTCTTTATGCTCTGGTCACCCCTGAAACGTTTAAGTTTTTTCCTTGCTGAGTTCCAATGGCAACTAAGAGCCTACAACGAAAGCTTTGTTAGTCAAAGAGAATGTTTTTCTTAGAACTCAGTAGGGAAATAAGCAAAGGATAAGAACCAAGAACTTACTTAATAGGAAATAAAGATTATAGATAAATCTTCTGGGAAAATGTTCAGCTCTAACTAATTTAAAGCTCTTGACTGGTGTAATTGCAGGTAAAGGTACATGAATAAGTGTAGTGGAAATTGGTGTGGATACTCTTGAGACCCGTACACCTATGTATGTCCCCAAATTAAAAATATCCAAAGCTGGTAGTGACTCAAATAAATCATTTTAAAAAGAAAAAGTTAAATGTAGAAAACACCATATAGAAGCATTTACTAGAAACTTTATTTTCTTAATTCTATAAAAAAGGGAAAATTATTAATAATAATAGATTAGAATTTCAGCTTTATTGCTTCCTCGTTATGTGACTTTGGAAAATTTATCTAATTTTATCTGTAAGGAGAAATGTCAGCCATGTCACCTGAATCCTGGAGTAATGTTAACACATACTTTATGAAATTATAGTGCAAATTAAATAATTAAATTAAAATTAAATTATTTAGCTCAGTAACTGGCACATATAGAATGCTCAACACATTTAGGTTTTTTTAAATAGAAGCAACAATAGAGAATATTTATGTATAATTTGGATCTGCTTTCAATATATATTTTTTGCATGTAGTAGATGCTTCAAATATTTGTTGAAACAATATGTAAATTTATAATATTAATATTCCATATAAATAATAAACACTAAATAAAATAGCAAATCATTATAAAATTATATATTTGTTATTTAAAGTATGTAAACACACATGAAAATATTGAAAGGGAAATTTAGTGATCAAAATTAACTTCTGGGTTGGAGTTAGAAGATTATGAATGTTTATATATTATGAATGTTTTAAAGTAAGGTTAATGTGTACTTTAAAACAATAATGAAAATATTTTCCTCTGTTTTAAGATCAAAGCAAGAGGAAGTATCTCCCAAACAGGAATCCATATGTTGTCCATTGAAGAAGGAAATAGTAAGCATTTTCACGATTTCTCTTTTTTTCTCTCTTTCATCTTGACAAATTCTGAACAACTTAGCAAATTGGAGCCATGTTCTCATTAGAGGAAATGGTCACCAGCCTTCTGTCATCGAAAGATGAGACAGCTGATGGAACAGGAGGGCATACTTGGCTCACTTTAGCCCATTTAAATTTTTTTCTTCTGATCACATCACTCCTATGTTTTAAATTTTATTCCTAAGAAAATATATTCATTTTATAATTAAATGTCTTTGAAAGGCATGAAATGTCTCAAAAATGCAGAAAATAACCAAAGAAAAATTATACTTTATATATTTGTCTGTTTTCTATTGCTACTGTAACAGGTTATCACAAATTTACTGGCTTAAAACAACACAAATTTATTTTCTTATGGTTCTCTAGGTCAGAAGCCTTACTGGGCTAAAATCAAGGTGTCATCAGAACTATATTCCTTCTGGAGTTCTAGGGGAGACTCTGTTTTCTTGCTTTTTCCAGCTTCTTGAAGCCTCCTGCAATCCTTGGTTTGTGTTTCCTTTCTCTTTCTTCAAATTCAGTTGCACACTGTCTTCACATCTCTCTCCCACCCTCTTATCTTCCTCTTAGAAAAACTCTTGTGATTACATTGAGCCCGTCAGGCTAATCCTGGATACTACTCACATCTCAAGATTATTAATTTAATCACTTCTGTAAAGGCCCTTTTTGCCATAAAAGGTAATATATGCACAAATTTTAGAAATTGGGTATCATTACGGGGCTATTATTCTGCTTTCCACAATCTTCCTTCTGGCCCCAAAGATTAACATTAATCATGCATGCAAAATATACTCACACTACACAACATCTTCAAAAGCCTCAATCCATTATAGCATTAACTCAAATCGAAAAGCTCAAAAAAAAAAAAAAAAAAAAAGAAAGAAAGAAAGAAAAAGAAAAGAAAAACTCATGTAAATCTCATCAGCTCAAAAGTCCCAAATCTCATTATCTCAGTCGTCTAAATTATGTGTTAATGAGGCCCTGGATGTAGTCTATCCTAAGGAAAGAAAGTCATCAGTCCTAAGAAGTACTGAAATCTTGCTGGACAAATAACTTTAGGTTTCAGCACCTGGGGATAATCTTTAGTTCACGTCTCTGTCCTTTGGACTTAAGCCTCCAGTCTTGGAATCACCCTTCCTTTTTCGCGGAAGATGTGTTTGCACCTGAAAAGTTTTATCAGACATTGTTTTCTGCCTATATAATTTGAAGGGTCTGACATTCTTTTCTTTCAGTTTATATTCTTTCTGTCCCATTTGGTCCAAGCTGACAGTGTTTCCGTTCATATAAATTTTTCAAGAACAACATAGGTCTCCTATGTGTCACAGTGATTCATTCCATTAAACAAAAAGCTTCTGCACATACTTTTCCTAGATAATTCTATCTCCCATTTTGGCTTTTGCTGAGATGGCTGAGGGGATCTATAAGTCATGCACTTAATCTCTTCAAAGTGCCTTTTTTGTGACTGAATACTCTGGCATTTTGATTTTTCTGCAAATTAAACCTTTAGCAAAAGGTTGTCCTGTCTCATCATGGATTTTACTCTAGAGCATAATTTCCTGACAGTGAATGTCTTAATCATACCATTTTTTGCAATCTGTATAAACTGAAAATTTTCAAAATTATCAAGTCCTGGTTTCTCCTTAATGAACATTTTTCAATTTATCTTCAGGTTTGCTCTTCCTTCAATTTATCTCCTTCCTTTCCAATTTTACTCTAAGTAGCAGGAAGAAAACTAGGCCGAACCTTTAACACTTTTCTTTAAAAGTTTCTGGCGAACTATCTGAATCCATTGTTCACAAAATTTGCTTTCTACACATAACAGCAGGACACAATTCCGCTAAGCTTTTTGCCTCTATATAATAAGAATTTGCTTTCCTTCAGTTTCCTCCAGAGCCCTACTGGAAGTATTGCTAATTTCTGTATTTTTACTAACAGTCAATTCATAACAATTTAGGTATTCTCTACCATAATATATGTCTTCTCTATCATGCTTCTCACTTTATTTTGAGTCCTCTCTAATAACATTTTTAGCATCCATATTTCTACTAAGTCTATTAAAAGTAATCTAGACTTTTTCTCTCCATGCTCCTCAGAGTCTTCCCATTGCTCAATTCCAAACCACTTCCATATTTTTAGGTATTTGTTACAGTAGCACCCCATTTTCAGGTACCAAAATTTATATTAGTTTACAAGCCAAGAAATTTTTTCAAAATAATTTCTTAGTTAATGTTTTTGCATGAAACTTTTTATTAAATTATCAATACTTTAAGAAATTCTCTAGATGATTTTATGTATTTTAATTTACTTTTTCCTCTTTAAATATTTAGAAGTTTTATTTAAAAATAACAACTAATACCTTTACTAATACATTGCCTTTTATTTTTCTTAGCAAAATTTTACAATACAAATAAAATAAAAGAATATTGTACACTAAATTCTCAATAGATGTTCTCAAACTCTTTCATGTTTGCCATGTGTATTTTACAAATTATCATTTTCTATGTGTTTCTTGAAAAAAAAAGATGTAGCAAGAACTTGTCTATAAAATTTAAATATTTACCTATATGCAAAGAATGTACTTAAATATTTATTGATCTATCTATCAATCATCTATCTATATCTATCTATCTAAATGGTAGGAATAAAATTGTCTCTTTTCTACACACTATCTTCTTCCTCTCTTCCTTAATCTATTCACAATAGTGCATGAATATACATTTTCCTCTCAAAGAGTAGTGCAGTGTAGAATATCCATTGTGATATATTAATGCTATTCTTATAAAAGGATGTCCCACAAGTTCATAGATGTGTATCTACAAACCTCCATAGCTGAAGAAGTACTTCAAGTATAGCTTTTAGATAAATATAAAACTAAAAGCAATTTAAAGACAAGTCCAGCATTTCAATTAATTTTTATATTCTTAAATTAATTTCATGATGTTATAGAAGCACCAGAACGAAAGAAAATGGGGAGTATACTAGATGATTAACTCCTTACATACAAATCCAGAAAATTCCACTGTATCCAAAAATGTACATGTATATACATATAATGTAGTTAATCACTCATTTCCTTCCTTCATTAACAAACATAACCAAGTACATTTCCCTAAAGTCATCTATCACTTGGATAATTGGCTCCTGTTCTGTTTTTTTAGATCTGAGACATTTGGATACCCGCTAGTTCCCAAGGACCTCTTATGGGATTTTTGAGATTGTAAATGCCTCACAATTAACAAAGCCTTTTTTATTGTTTTGAATTCTCTCTCTTACTGCCTTTGTTTTCCATAGAAGGCAAAATGACATGGTTTTTAAAATGCATTTTCTTATTTTCTGCAATATGTATTTTTAAATCACACAGTTTTATTCCACAACATACCAGCCAAATCCCTCTTCAACATAGTTTTGTTTATTACAAAATATTCTATCAATTTCAAATTATAAGTATTGCCCTTGAATATCAATATTAGTCATAATTGACTAATAATACAATGAACTTCTTGTTTCATTTCTAAAATCAACTTTTACTCATGCCTTCTTCAGGATTATTTTTCATCCTGCATTTCTTTATCTTATTCTTTTTAACACCTTTATTTTGTATCTATTAAGATGATAATTTTATTTTAGTTTGTTAATGTGATAAAATACATTGACTAATTTTTTAATATTGAGCTAACATTGAATTCCTAGAATGAAAAAAAACAAAAACTTGGCCATAATGTATTATCCTTTAAATATATCATTTGACTCAATTTATCAAAATTTTGTTAAAAATTTTTATATTTATGTTCAAGAAAAGTAATGATCTATAGTTTCTTTTTTGTCTTGTTTTGGTATTAACACAACACTAAAAAAATTGGTTGGGAAGTATGTCTTCCTCTTTGATTTTCTGGAAGAATTAATTAAGACGTGGTGTTTATTTTTCTTAAATATTTTGTAGAATTTACCAGTGAAGTCATCTGGGCACAGAATTTTCTTCATGAGAAGATTTTAAACTACAAATTCAATTTCTTTAATAAAGTTCAATTTAGTTTTGCTATCTTCTTGAGTGATTTTTGGTAGTATGTGTCATTAAAGACCTTGTCTATTTTTGTAAATTGTCTAATATATTATTTAGTAGCCCATAAGATTATTTTATGGGTTTTAAATATTAATATATATGTACTATGTATAGTGTTAGCATCTCTTCCATTCAAGATACTCATATTATTAATTTATGTATTTTCTTGATCAGCCTGGCTAGAAGCTTATCAATCATCTTAATCTTCTCAAACAACTAGTATGGCTTGATTTTTCTCTTTGTTTTTATACTTTTATGTCATTGATATCCACTGATCTTTCATCAATTATGTCTTCTACTCACCTTGTTTTTAATTTGCTCTTTTTTTCCCAAATGATCATCATCAGTCCCAATTTAATATCAAGTACATGTGGTGTTTGCAAGAATATATGTTTTAGTGTTTGGAATGTGTTTGTCTTTTATCTCTGAAACACCATTTCTTATATTGGTACTTGGCACACAGTGGAGACAAAATAAATGTTTTTAAATTAATTCATAGACCATAGATAGGTTATCTCTTTGTTTATAATTTATTAGAACCAAATTGTGAAAGAGTTTTCCATCAGAACTATACCCAAAGAGAGTATCTTTCTGTCTTGATATATCTCTGTAATCGAAGTTTTGGGTAAAAGCATTAATAAAACACGATCCAGGCCCTCAAGATGCTCATAGTCTAATAGAGGTACTAGGTGTCATCTTTCTGTTTTAAGCACTTAAAAGTTATAACAAATCCCTTTTATATATATAATCCTTTTATATAATCCCTATAATAAATTCCTTTTTAAAAATCTGAATGGAAGAGCTAAATAAGAACTGATAGGTATTAGTACAATTTCTTTATTTTGCAAGTGAGAAAATAGATACCTGGGGAAAAAAGTCTCAACCTGTTCAACTTAGTATTACAGAAAAGCCTAGCTGAAGAAGAGTCTCCTCTCAGTCTGTTTCTCTAGCTCCTGCTTACTTCATTTATTTAAGTTGTTCAACACAGCATCGAACTGACATTGTTACCATAAAATCTATAGAATTTTCTAAGTGAAAACTGATTTTTAATTTGTCCTCTAACTCAATTATTGTCAACCTTTTTTGAATCCTATAAAGCTTGATGAAAACTTTTAATTGTGAAATTTAGTTTGAATTCAAAATAATAATGAATTTGTAATATTTGGCTTTTCGCATTAGCCTCCTCTTAAGTTTCTCATAACTCTACTTTAGTGTGCTCCTAATGTAAATAATTAATAGAAAAATCCTTTTTTTGCAAAATTGAAAATTCTGTTCCTAATCTATTATCTTGGACTTGTTAAATTTGCCAGTGAAAGGAGTATTTTCCTTCTCCTTTCGAGTGGAACCAGACATTGCTCCTGCTGCTCATTTGCTGGTTTATGCTGTTTTACCTAATGGAGAAATCATGGCAGACACTGAGAAACTCGAGATTGAAAAGTGTTTTGCCAACAAGGTGGGTTGTTTTATTTAATCCTAATCCTTTTATTCTTCTGCCCTTTTGAAATGTGAAAAATAAAGTAGATATCTACATGAAAAGACTACCATAATTGTTCCTAAAATGTTCCTCCAAAGTATCTCTAAAGGTAGAGAGTATTGCATATCCTGGGAGGCTGATGTCCACAGCAGTTTTTTAAAAGTCTCCTGTTGTATCATAAAATTCATATAAATTTTAAAATCAATTCCACTATAAATTTTTAATAGTTTTAATTTCAAAATTTTTTGTTACTAAATGTTTCGATTAAAAATGATACTTCCAAGACTGATTCTTCTCAAGTTTATCCTGTTGCAACCTGGCACAGCACATCCATGTACCACTGCAGAAACTAGTGAGTTGTCGTGAGTTGAAATTCAGTTTGATAATATACTGGAACAGGGGTGGATGCATATATTCTGTTTCAAGAAACATAACCTCGGAACTTAACATAGAAATCTAACGTGTTCAAATGGGATTTTTTTTATGTATAATGTAAAGCTGCAACGTGAAGCCCACTGAGATATAAATAGCTTTATTGCAACAGAATTTGGTGCTGTTTGTCTGATTTTTACTACTTTGGCAGCACAGTCCTAACATGAGCAATCAGATAGGACCCACGTATTCAGATAACTTTTTAAAAATATACCTAGAAAGACTCTTTAACATAGATTTTGTGGAGATTAAAACAATGTGTGTTTATAGCAAGTGAACATTTCTACCATGAGAACTTTATTTAGTAATAAATTATCTTTTTTAAAACATACAATGAAATAAGAAAAAATACACAGTGGATTCTGATACAAATCTTCAGTTCCATCTTGGAATGTGCGTGTTGTGCTACAGTTTCCAACACACCTTACTCATCCTAACAGTAGAGGTCTCTTTCTGCTGGGTCAGTATTTTCTTCACACTCTGGAAAGGAGAAAGCTATCATAAAACATAATTGGCAGAGGAGAACATTGATTAATGTAGACAGGTATAGACTCCTCCAAAATATGCCTTAAAGTCCTGTTTTAGTTTTCACATCGGTAAAGCATTTTATTAGAATGCTTAGAATGCGTTAGAATATTCTAACATGTCCATTTCTTGGTTAATAGTATTTTTAGTTGATTATAATCCCAATAACTTACTTGTTCATGTGACTAGGACAGCCACAAATATATTTTAATGAACTAAATTTTCTAAAAATAAAAACAAATGTTTCAAATAGAATTTTCCACAAGCAATGTTTTCATAATATGTTGAATTATGGAGATGAATACTAATGCATTTGGATGATAAATAATTAATGATTTATTTTTTTCATATTTGCCTTGTGATATATGATTGCAAACTGCTGCATTAATTCAGTAGACCACAAGCAGGTATATGCTATTACAATATAACTTGAATATCACTCAGATTCTACTCAAGAAATGTCTACCTAAACAGAAGGAACCAATAGATTCACTTACCAATAAATGTTTATTGGTCAAAGCATAATCAAATCTCGGGGAAAAAATCAACACAGTTTTCTATTATTCTGTTCTTGTGCTTTATTCACAGTTATTTGAATTTTCTGAACCCATTGACTCAAGATGCATATTAGATATTTGATTTTTTAAATGACCTGACAAATCCACAATCTTGGCAAACAGTATGACACTGCTTTAGAATTTCAGATGACTAAGATTCCTAACTCGGGGACACTCAGCTGGTCTCAGGGGTGGGGTGGGATTTTTCACAGCACTGTGCAAACTACACACATTTCAGTACACCACACAGAGATAGGTCAGCTACACCAAGGTGTGTATCCTTCTTGTAGGTGTGTTTTCAATCCCATTTACGATTGTATTTCAATGCCATTAATATCAACTTATATTGTACCAGTTATATAAGGAAGGGGAAACCTGAGTCAACTGAAACTACATTTCCAGACTATTCTAGAGTTGTTTAATGGGTTGTCCCTAGGCTGCCTGCCTCCTAATCCTGCTATAAAATGGATAAGGAGAAAGGAAATATAGAAAAGATAAGTCCTAGCCTGGAGTAGAAGAGAGATTTGAGACTGTAATAATTATAAAAGTCGCTACTATAATCCTATCCTCTTCACAGGTGGAGTTGAGTTTCTCCCCAGCCCAGAGCCTGCCAGGCTCAGACACCCACCTGAAGGTCACGGGCACCCCGCTCTCCCTGTGCGCCCTCCGCGCGGTAGACCAGAGCGTGCTGCTCATGAAGCCCGAAGCTGAGCTCTCGCCTCAATCCGTGAGTCCCGCTTCTACCTTGGCTGTCACAAAGTGCTCACACAGTAAGACCAAGTCCATGACGAACAGAAATTGCACCGAGTAATTTACATACGTCATCTCGTTTTCTTCTCTGTTATATCTTCAATGAGGGTGCAACCTTGCCAGCCACGACCTTCCCTGTGCCTAGCATGGAATCTCATGTATAACAGCTTCTCAGCATGTTATTAATGAGTGAATAAATGAAAAATATTTATTTGAGGTGGATATTCCTATCATAATTTTATGAATGAAGAAAGCACAACTAGGATATATTTAAATAATTATGGGCAGAGCATGCCAAAAATATATTTTAGAGGTGGGATTTGAACCACATATCTTCTAAACCCACCAAATTTCAAGGTATTATGTGAAATGCCAGACTTTTAACCTTTACCTAAAATCCAGGCACCTATTCATGGGTTTTAAGTGTAGGCCAAAGAGAGTTTCTTTCAAACTTGTCTTTAAAAATGTCTCTTACAATGAAGCACCTTTAAAAAGGCCCTATAGTTTACTGGCTTCATGGTCCATTTATTTATTTAATAAATATTTATTGCATCTTGACTACAGGGTGGACATTATGCTGAGACCACGATGGCTAACTGTCTAAATTGAGTAACTTATGAGGAACAATTCATATTTGGCCTTTGACCAATTTAGACTTATAATCATGTGAGATATTAAAATGGACAAAAAAGCTACAAAAACATAATAATTCCAGATTTTGATAAGTACTATAGAAGAATAAACAGAGTGGTGAAATCAAGAATAAAAGAGTTGAGCAAGTTTTGAAATAGTGATTAGAGGTGTCTTCTTAGATTGGAGGGTTGGGTAGGGGCAGGAGCAGGCATTACAAAGAACGGAAGCAGTACATGGAAAGTCACAATGTGCTTGGAGTGTTCCAAGAAGGAAAAGATAATGGCCTACTATGTGGTGGTGGGAGGGGAGGTTGGTGGAGGCTGCAGGTAAAACAGAAAACTAGGAAGATCGTGGCCAGCTCTGTTCATGTGATGCAGAGTTTGGAGTTGAACGTAAATGCAATGGTGAATCACTGAGGAGATTTAAGCAGGAGAGTGGACAATTGACATGGATCTGCTAAAAAGGTCATATTCGCTGCTTGAGAGTGTGGGAGCAAGAAGAATGAAAGCATGGGAACAGTTAAGAGTTTATTCCAGTAGCACAGATGAGAGAAGACAGAGCCCAGACTAGGAGGTCTGCCGGGGACTCCCCGTATGTCTAATGGCCTGAACACTGTATGTCTGAGCAGGTTGCCTTACACCCTGGGAAAAACTGGAGCTGATTTATTTCTCAGTTGCCCCTGCACCTAGTTTTTTCTCAAGCTAAACTTTATTTTTAGACTTAAAAGAAAACTTGGTAAGACCTTAATCATATAAAATGGGAAAATGAAATTAATCAAGTATTTACAGAGGGTTTTTTTTTAGATGATGGGACTATGAGTGGCTTTTACTCTTTCATTACATGTCTCTGTAATGTCCACATTTTCTGCTTCCTTTTAAACATAGGAATCTGGTCTGGAAGACAGAGACTGGAGTTTTAATTTTACTCAACCAAAATGAATTGAGATTTTAATCAATTTATTTCATCTCTCTCTATATTACCTTCTTTTGTACAGCAAGAGGATTAGGATCAATGATCTTTAATATCTCTCCATGTTGCTTTTTATAATATAAGCATGGGGATATTAAATAAACACCATAATCTTTTAAATCCCGTATTGGACATTATCACATTTAAAATTCTTAGGAAAATAACGAATTTTTCTTTGTTCTCTCAATTTTATAGGTCTATGATCGGCTTCCAGTAAATATTCTCCCTAGACTTAGATATGCAGATCCTGTGAATGAGGATGATGAAAAATGCATCAAAGTAGAAGACATATTTCACAATGGAATCCTTTACACGCCAAAGCAAGTCCCGACTAATGATTATGATGTTTATGATATCTTTGAGGTAATTCCTCTTCTTTTTTTTAATATTTTAGTGTATAATGGGGGTACAAGTGCTAAGGTTATGTATATTGCCCATGCCTCCCTTCCCCCCTCAAGTCAGAGCTTCAAGCGTGACCATCCCCCAAATGTTGAACATCTCACTCATTGTGTTTGAATATACCCATCCCCTTCTCCCTCCTCCCACCCACTCGACACCCGATAAATGTTATTCCTATATGTTCTTTGAAGTGTTGATCTGTTAATACCAATTTGCTGGTGAGTACATGTGGTGCTGGTTTTTCCATTCTTGAGATACTTCACTTAGTAGAAGGGTTCCAGCTCTATCCGGGAAAATACAAGAGGTGCTATATCACCATTGTTTCTTAAAGCTGAATAGTACTCCATGGTATACATATACCACATTTTATTAATCCACTCATGAATTGATGGGCGCTTGGGCTGTTTCCACAACTTTGCAATTGTGACTTGTGCTGCTATAAACATTCGAATGCAGGTGTCTTTTTCATAAAGGGACTTTTGATCTTTTAGGTAGATGCCCAGTAGTGGGATTGCTGGATCAAATGGTAGATCTACTTGTATCGCCTTAAGGTATTTCCATATTCTTTCCACAGAGGTTGAACTAGTTTGCAGTCCCACCAGCAATGTAGATGATTCCTCTCTCTCCGCATCCACGCCACATTTTTTGTTGGGGACTTTTTGATAAAGGCCATTCTCACTGGAGTTAAGTGATATCTCATTGTGGTTTTGATTTGCATATCCCTGATGATTAGAGATGTTGAACATTTTTTGATATGTTTGTTGGCCATTCTTCTTCTTCTTTTAAAAAGTTTCTGTTCATGTCTTTTGCCCATTTTTTGATAGGGGTCTTTGATTTTTTTCTTGCTGATTTTCCTGAGTTCTAAATAGATTCTTGTTATCAGCCCTTTATTGGATGTGTAGCTTGCAAAAATTTTCTCCTATTCTGTGCGTTGTCTGTTTGCTCCCTTGACAGGTTCTTTGGCTGTGTAGAAGCTTTTTAATTTGATCAGGTCCAATTTGTTTATTTTTGTTGCTGCTGTGATTGCCTTTGGGGTCTTCTTCATAAATTCTTTGCCTAGGCCAATGTCTAGAAGAGTATTTCCAACGTTTTCCTCTAGAATTCTAATAGTTTCACACCTAAGGTTCAAGTCTGTTACTCAGTGTGAGTTGATTTTTGTGAGAGGTGAAGGTGAGGGTCCTGTTCCAGTCTCCTACATGTGACTATCCAGTTTTCCCAGCACCGTTTATTGAATAAGGATTATTTTTCTGCAGTATATGTTTTTGTCTGGTTGTCAAGATTATATGTGAGGATGGTTTTATATTTGGGTTCTCAGTTCTGTTCCACTGTTCACTATTCTTGTGCCAGTCCCAAACATTTTTAATTGCTATAGCCTTGTAGTATAGTTTGAAATCTCATAAATTGATACCTCTTATTTTGTTTTTATTGCCTAGGATTGAGTTTGCTATACATGGTCTTTTCTGGTTCCATACGAAGCATAAAATTATTTTTTCTATATCTGTGAAAAATGATGATGGTATTTTAATAGGGATTGCATTGACTCTGTAGGTCACTTTGGGGAGTATAGACATTTTAACAATGTTGATTCTGCCGACCCATGAGCATGATATATTCTTCCATCTGTTTACATCCTCTGCTATTTCCTTATTAGAGATTTCTCTTTTCTGCTTTTCATTAGTCTAGCCAAAAGTGTGTCAATTTTGTTTGTTTTTTCAAAGAACAAACTTTTTGTTTTATTAATCTTCTGTATGGTTTCCCTGTTGTCAATTTCATTTAGTTCTGATTTGATCTTAATGAATTCACTTCTTCTGCTGTGTTTGGGGTCAGTCTGCTCTTCTTTTTCCAGCTCTTTGAGACAATTCATTAGGTTGTCAGTTTGTACTCAACCTTTGGATATAGGCATTTATGGAAATAAACTTTCCTCTCAGGACTGCTTTAGCTGTATCCCACAGGTTTTGATAACTTGTGTCTCCTTTGTCATTTAATTCAAAGAATCTTTTGATTTCCATCTTGATTTCCTCATTTATGAAGTAATCATTCAGCATAAGGTTGTTTAGTTTCCATGATCTTATGTAGAATTGAGAGTTCTTGTTAGGATTGATTTCTACTTTTATTCCTCTGTAATCTGAAAAAAGATACATGATATAATTTCTATTTTCCTTTAATTGTTTGAGACATGCTTTGTGTCCTAGGATATGGTCAATCTTAGAGAATGTCCCATGAGCTGATGAAAAAATGTATATTCAGTGGTTTGGGGTAGAATGTCCTGTAAATGTCAGTCAGGCCTATTTGTTCTAGAGGTCTGTTTAAGTGCACTATTTCTTTGTTGATTTTCTGTTTGGAGGATCTGTTCTGTGCTGTCAGTGGGGTCTTAAAGTCTCCGACAATTATGGTGTTGTTGTTTATCCATTTGTTTATATCAAGTACAGTTTGCTTTATGAATCTGGGTGTACCTATGTTGGGTGCATATATATTTAGAATTGTTATGTCTTCTTGTTGAACTGTACCCTTCACCATTATATAGTGACCTTCTTTGTCTTTAATTACTTTTGTTGATTTAAAAACTATGTTATCTATATCAGCACTGCCACACCAGCTTTCTTTTGGCTTCCATTTGCTTGAAATATTGTTCTCCACCCGTTTACCGTTAGTCTAACTGCATCCTTGCAGGTTAGATGTGTTTCTGGAAGGCAGCAGATACTTGGCTTGTATTTTTTTATCCATTCAGCCAGCCTTTGTGTCTTGAGTGAGAGTTCAAGCCATTCATATTTATTGAGAGAACTGATAGGTGGGGAAGATTTCTGTTCATTATGTTGGGTTGAACTTTGTTGCTTTGTTTTCTCTCTTGAGCCATTGTGGCATCTGGGCTTTGATCTTTAGCTTTGAGTAGATTTACATTCTTGAGTGTTTATTGTGCTGATCCATGGGTAACACTGTTTTGAGTACTTCTTGAAGGGCTGGTCTCGTCTTGGTGAATTCCCTCAGTCTTTGCTTATCTGAGAATGTCTTGATTTCTCCTTCGTATACAAAACTTAGTGTTGCAGGGAATAAGATTCTAGGCTGGGCGTTATTCTGTTTCAGAAAAGTGAAAATGGGACCCTCGTCTGTCCTTGCTTGTAAAGTTTCAGTACAGAAGTCTGGCATTATTCACATTGGCTTTCCTTTGTATGTTACTTGCTTCTTTCATCTTACAGCTCTTAGAAGGGCCTCTTTAGTTGATATTTTGGTCATTCTGATGACTGCATGTCGTGACGTCTTCCTGTTTGCATTGAATCTCCCAGGGGTCTTTTGAGCTTCTTGTATATGTATATCTAGATTTTTAGCCTGGGAAATTTTCCTCTATTATATCTTCAAATAGCTTGTCCAACCCTTGAGTGTTTTCTTTTCCCTTTGGTAACCCTATAAACCTCACATTAGGTTTCTTCACATAATCCCTCATCTCTTGTAGGCTTTGCTCTTTTCTCTGGTTTCTCTGCTCTATCTCTGTGACTGATTTATTTAATTGGAAGGTGTTATCTTCAATCTCTGAGAGTCTTTCTTCTGTTTGATCTACCCTGTTCTTGAGGCTTTCCACTGTGTTTTGTAGTTCCCTGAATTGATTCTTCATTTCTAGGAGTTGGGTTAGATTTTTCTTCATTGTTTCAATTTCTTTAGTGAATTTTTGTTCCAGGTGCTGGAATCTTTTTGCATTTTCTTTTTGTTGGTTATCAAGTTTTCCTTGCAAATCGTTGAATTTTCTTACGATCCAAGATCTAAATTATTCTTCTGCCATTTTAATGTCCTGATTTTGGTTGATGTTCATTTCTAATGGTGCCAGTGTTTCTCTTTGGGAGTTTTCTTTCCATTTGAGTTTTCAATTTCCAGAGGACCTTCGCTGATTTCTTCGCATCTGGATCTGTTGTTGCTTCTTACCTTTAGGTTTTGGTTTGGGTAATGACACGCCCTGTTTAGTCTCTGAGCCAGTAGGTGGTGTTTGTGAGTGAGATTCAACTACACCCTGTATGATGAGTCAGTAGAGGCCATGAAAGTGTGTGCAGAATGTCCTCCTGTCAGTAGGTGGCGCTTGCTGGGAGCAGCAGCATACACTGTTGTTTTTGGGTCCTGTAACCAGCTCTTGTTCCTCTAGAGAGGCTCTCTAGTCCCTCAGGTGTTGGGTGGAGTCCTACGCCTTTCAGGTGTGTCCTTATTCTCCACCTCAGTGAAGGGTGGTCTGGGAGTGAGTCTGGGTGGAGCTGAGTTGGTTAAGCCTGCCCTCAGGCACAACAAATGCCGTTAGCAGGGGTGAAAGTTCTGTTCTCTGCTTCTGGGAAAAGCTGTCAGGGAGGTGATGGAATGGCCCCCCTCAGTCAGAAAGTCTGCTTGTGGGGGTGGGGCTATCTGAGACCTGCAGTCTGGAGCAGGCCTCGCTCCTTTCCACCCTCCCCAACTCCATGGCTTCTTCTGGGCCTCTGCCAGCAGGCCAGACCTCACACCACCGGGTCTCTACTGGCTGTGATGCAGCCCAGGAGGTTCTCCTTGCAGGGTCAGTGCCTGGGCTGGGCACACGGCCCCCCTTGGGAGGAGGGTTGCCCTCAAGCACTCTGTTATGCCCCTGAAGGCACACACACCTCAGTAGGCTGTTCACGAATATCCCTTCTGTGCCCCAGGCAATGCGAGACCTGGGTGCATGGGATCTGGGCCCCGGAATTCAATCCCTGACCCCACCAGGAAGAGTAGTGCAAGTCCTAATCCTCCCCCTCCAGAGCCCAAGCTGGGTTGATGTCTCTCAGCCTCAGGGTCTGCCCCATTCTGGAATCATGGGGCAAGCAGCACCTGGGAGGGCTGGCGGATAGGGAGCTCACAGTCTGAGTACCCCTCAGTCAGCTGAATGGCCCTCAAATAGTTGGTCCCGTTCCCTGGAGATGCCTCCAGCTTGTGGCTATATTGTCTCTCGGGAACCACGGATAGGGAAGGATGAAGCAATATGGCACCTGCCGAGCGGCTCCGGTCTGTGCACATGGAGTTGCCCTGAGGAAGTTGGGAACCTGGTGCTGCGTCTGCTACAGGCTTACCGCTCACTGGCTGTGGCCATCTCTGGGCTGGTGTCCACAGGTCTGTCCACCCACTAGGGGCCCCCGACCAGCAGTCTGAGATGCAAGGGAGGGGAAAGTTAACTTCCCCACCTACCCTTGCTGCTGGTCTCCAAGCTTCTTGGGAGGTCTCTTCTTCCAGTTCTCCTCCACAACGTCCTCCCGTGGAGTCTCCTGTAGTCTCAGGTACTCCTCCTTCCGACCCTCATCCAATGTATGCTCGTCTGCTTGCTTCTTTCTTCTAATTTCTTCTAGGGATTTTTTTTTTTGCAGAGACACTCTGTCTGGCAGTGTTTCTCATCTGTCATCTTGCTCCCTAATTCCTCTTCTTAAAAACACAACCAAAAGTGATTTCTAAGTCTCCGTTAATTTGTAGAACCAATGGGCTTCTAAACTCTAGGGCCTGATCCTCCCTTCCCCTGACTTTATGATATGTAAAAGAAGTATTGGAACTTCAGAGTCATAGACAACTTTGTATACATACAGATATTCACATGTAAATTTCTCTGGCACCATAAACATCAAGTAGTTTATTTTTAGGCCCCAAACCTATATTAATCCCAAAGGTATTAACTACCATCATATTTCCCTCTCAGTGACTCAGAGATTCTAATATGTGAGAAAAACAGAACAATATATTTTCCATAGTGTGTCTTATACCCATGGAAAAGTGAATACCTTGCTGGCAGCCATCACATCAGTCAATAAATACTTATTGAATGAACACATGATTGAATGCATAAAGTGCAATAGTTATAGTGCGGGAAAACTTCATGAAAACTAAAAGTAGCCTTTCATTAAGAAAAGATAAAGAAAACTTGTGTTAGAAATGTTAGGATGTTTTAAAATGGTTCTCTTAGGTGTAACTATGTCTGAACAGAGTTATTAATATAAAAGGGGAGTTTATCTAGGTTGTGAAATTAAACTTTGGCACTATCACAAAGGAGTAAAGACTTTCATCATCACATCTTGAAAAAAGCATATGCCATTTTTCTGCAGCTTAACTGGGAGTCACTTAAATCTCTTTCTCTTCTGGAGCCTCCAAGTCACAAATCCGGTGTTGAAGGAATGGGAAGAACACTCATCAGGTTCATTAGCTAGCTGTTTAGTTTTTAAATATTTAGTTCTGACTTTTTTCTTCCTCTCCCATATCACAACCACCACTGACAACTGTGCTCAAGGGTCCCACAGTTTCCCACGTACTCTGAGATAAAAGAGCAAGTAGTATTAATATTTGTCTGTGACTAACATTGAAGAAGGAGGAAGATGGGAACGGCTGGGCTGTAGGACTCAGACTACTACAGGCATCTGCATGTAGGTTTTGGATGCAACATTTGAGACAGTTAAGAGAAAAATTAGAGAGTAAAGAGGAAAGGACCAATCACAAAAGGGATGAGTTCTCTCAATTTTATGGGTCCACAGATATTCAGGGAAAGTCACATCCTCCAAAAAAAACATAAACAAAACAGAGTTTACTAAAATTGTAAAGAAAAACCTCCAATATGCATGCAACTCTACAATTTAAATTGACAAGAAACCAAAAGAAATGCTGTCTGTAGTAAATCCATTTAGAAATATACCTATCTATTTAATACATATATATCTACATATAGATAATTGTTTTGCAGAGAAAAAGAAGGGGGAAAAATCTAAGTCTAAAATACTCAGTCTTTGGGGGTGATAGAAATACAATTAAAAAGGTATCAGAGTGTAGCAGACAGTATGTAAAAATAGGAATCAGAAGTGGGTTTGAATCTGAAGACCCATTTACTAGCTGAACAAACTTGACCTTGTATGACTCTGCTTTCATATTTATAAAATAGCTGTCCTCTTTATTGTATGGAATTTTCACAATGATCCTGTGAGCTATGTGTAAAATAATAGTGAAAGTACAATACAAACCTGATAAATTAATTCCAGTCTCAAGATTGGATTGTTATTATGCTTTAACAATTAATATTTTTTTCCAGTCTATAGGATTAGATATTTTTACCAACTCAAAAATCCGTAAGCCACGGTTTTGTCAGTCGCCTTCGGTATATCCATATCTACCGATGAGAGTTGCTGCTGCAGAAGGTAAGGGTGTGGTTTATTTGTCTGCTAGAATAATAGAAAAAAAATATGCTTTATTAGGTTGGGTTGAGATTAAAAGCTATTTTTCTCAGTATTGGATCTTGCAACTGCAGCAACTTCTTGGCAAGTTATCCTCAAATAACATTTTCCTTTCAAAAATAGGATTTTAAAGTGGTTATTATTATTCTCTCTCTGGTATCAAAATTGACTACTTTTTTGTCCTAGCCTTCAATAGTCTTGCTACTTACTTCATATCCTCCTTATCTACTGTGGCTTCACTATTTAAATTAGTCAGAATAAGACCGATTATATTGCAGTAACAAACAACCCCTACATCTCAATAGCTAAAGATAACGGTTCAGTTTTTCCTCACATAAGACCTGCTTGTGGGTCTAGTAGCTCTCCAGAATGGCTCCCTGCCAAGTACTGAGTCAGGGATAACCAGTCTTCTTTCCTCTGTGACTCTACCACCTCCAATGTGCCTGGCAGGGTCACAACCATGGGGAAAAAGGAGCAGATTTGCACATGACTTTTATGGCCAGTAGTGGAGAAGACTTATGCCACTTCTGCCCACATTCCTGCCCTGCCTGCAAGGGGGGCTGAGAAATGAGAAGGATCATATGGATATTAACTGTCTTTGTCATATCTTTTTAATGGAGATCAAAGTGATTTTTTTAATATTGACCAAGATAGAATAATTCAAATTTTGGCAAACATACTAGTGTATAGTCTTTTTGTGTTTCATGTATACCTGGAAATGAGGAAAAGTTGAAAAGACTCTAAGTATTCTTATCTGCTGCTATGAAGCCTAGAGAAATTTCTTTCTGCATGCTTGACTTCTACTAAAATTACTTTTTAATAAAAAATGAGGATGGCACTATAAAATATTTATTTTAAAAAAAGAATAAACACATTTTAATACAGTAGATTATTTACCTGGACAAGGAGTAAAGTTTTAGTAGAAAACAAAAGAATGAATAAGAATATTCCCTCAACAGAAAAAAATAATCTTATATAGTGAAAAAAAGAGCACTGTTTTAAGAACAAAGAGACAATTTCTCTTTACACCTCTCTCTGCTCTATGTGACTTTGAAAATTTACAGACTCACTTCACCTTTTGGAGGCTCAATTTCTTGACATCTAAAGTCAGAATGGCAACCAAACTCATTTTATTGTGAGCATAAAATGAAAAAAATCTAATTATGATTTCATGTAATAGAATGCTTTGTTAAAAAAAACTGCGAAGCATTATTAATTGATTTTTATATCCTTCAATACCAAGTCACTGTCTTCTTTTCAACCTTAAGAGAAAGCATGCCCGTGAATGATCTAGAAAATGAAAGCTCAAGAGTACCATCATTATAGTCTTATTCCAAATATTCTGTAATATTCTGTATAAATTTTTCTTTTGGTATTTGTCACCTATCCACTTTTTCCTCCTCTTTTTCAGTTATATCACTTTAGTCCTGCCCCTCATTATTTCATAACTAGATTACTAAAAAATTTCTAATTTACCTTTCTTGTCTCAAGTCTCTTTATATATCTATTTGTAATTATGCATGTATATATAATTATCTTAAGAAAATTGTAAATAGTTATCTTAAGATATATATATTTTTATATATGTGTATCTTCTTTCTGATCTCTGGAGTATCACTCTCTTTTTCTTTTTTTTCTTTGAGACAGAGTCTCACTCTGTTGCCTGGGCTAGAGTGCCATGGCGTCAGCCTAGCTCACAGCAACCTCAAACTCCTGGGCTCAAGTGATTCTTCTTTCTCAGCCTCCTGAGTAGCTGGGACTACAGGCATGCACCACCATGCCCAGCTAATTTTTTCTATATATTTTTAGTTGGCTAATTAATTTCTTTCTTTTTGGCAGAGACGGGATCTCACTCTTGCTCAAGCTGGTTTCAAACTCCTGACCTTGAGCGATCCTCCCGCCTTGGCCTCCCAGAGTGCTAGGATTATAGGTGTGAGCCACCACGCCCGGCCTCACTCTTTTTTATTAAGATAACTAACTCCTGCTTTAACAGATCTTATTCATTTCTCCTAACCTTTGTGATGTTTTATTATATAATTGTATTTCCTGTTTACCCAACTGTGTTAAACACACTCCCAAAATAGACATTCTATTCTAGAGTAGTAAGTTTTTCATTATCCTTTTGAAGCATCCCTTCCCACTTCTGGGACTATATTTATACAGCCCTTGCCCTGGAATGCCTTCCCACTCTCCTCTGCTTCCTATCCATCAATGATCATCTTAAGTTCCACTTGGGGTAAAGTCTATTCTGGCCAAACCAAAGTTGAGTTTCTTTTCTTTCTTAAGTTCCCATTGTCAATAGCACATACCTTTACTGTATCATGTTGTTTACTCTTTACATCTCCACCTTTCATTCACTGTGAAAACAAACAAACAAATCATTCCTGAAATCCTCTTGCTCAGCCATTCTTCTTGTTTGGTTCTCACTGCCAAAGGAAGATATATAATCATCACTTCAGTGTCAAAGTAATATTTTATGTATTAAGTTACTCTTTATCCTTCTCCTCACCAGTTGAATAATCATCATAGAGAGAGCTATATTCATTTTCATTTATTTAAAAAATGCAGTTGCCTCTAGACTATATTTTGTTTATTTTATTTTACTGTTTTGTGGGGTACATGATAGATTTTTTGGATATAGATTGATATATTGCATAGTAGTGAAAGTTAGACTTTTTGTGTAACCCTCGCTTATTTCTTTGTGTTGGCTTTCAACTTTCTCTTGGATTTCATTGAGCTTCTCTATAACCAGTATTTTGAATTCTTTACCTGCTATTTCAAAGATTTCATTTCGATACATTACTAGAGAGTTAGTTAATCCTTTGGGGGTACTGTAAAACTCTGTTTTTACATATTATCAAAATTATTTCTCTGGTTTCTTCTCATCTGGCTAGACTGTCTCTTCTTATTATTTTAGAATTTATTCTCAATTGGATGGTTTCTTTCCCCCTTAAGAATGTGACTATAATGTATATTGTGTATGATTGCCTAGCTTCCATTCTGTGTGCTTTCAGTGGCAAAGACTCTGTATGAGATCTTTGGTTATAAATAGCTTTTGTGTAGTGGCTTTCTCAGATGCTGGTTGTAGTAACAATGTACTAGGAGTGTGAGCAGGCTAATTGTCTCCTACAGGATCAGAATGGTAGAATTCTCAGGAAGCTTATGTCATTCTCCAGTGCTGTGTACTTTTGTTTGTTTTTCATTGCATTGCGCAGTTCAGTCTGTAGGCCAGTAGGTAGTGCCCATGGTTAAAAACTGACTGTGGCAGAAGCAGATGGGTTTATGCAATACCCCAATAGTGGGTACAAGCCCCAGCCCAAATGGGGGTGGCAGGGGGAGCTCCCAGTGAAATGCAACAAGGTCTCCATGCAGAAGAGGGAAGAGAGCTGCCCCAGCTCCACTACCAGGCCAGCAGGAATGTGATCTGCCTCCCTATCATGTCCCTGTCCAGGTGCTCAGGATATTTAGATCAGATAGATACCGCTGTCCATCTGCTGTTCCGCAGGAACACTGCTGTTCCATGTGGAGAGGGGGAGGGGTCCTACCCCTTGTGCAAGCCTGGGCCCAGAGGGCACACCTCCCATGGGGATGCAGTCACCCCTAAATGCCCTAGAATGGCTACCCACAGGCAATACCTGTGCTGAGCTCCCATGGGAGCAGCCCCAGCTTCAGCAGTCGGGGGAGAAGAATACATCCCCCTCTCTATGTCCCTTCATGAGCACTGGGGCTGCCTGGCCGCTGGTGTGGAACTACAGTCTTTCCCCACAGAGCCCACCACAGTGCCCACATCTCTGCTGAAAGAAGCACAGTCACTCTCTGCACATGGTGGGGACCTCTATGACATGGAAAAGCTCATGCTCTGGTTTCCTTTGTCCTCAGGGGTGCTCGCTTGTTGTGAGACACTCCCCCATCTATTAGGAATGGCAATCCCTGAGGACTAGACCACTGTGGGCCCTGCTGCAGCACGGGGTCAGCCACCCTGTGTGGCTGCTGCAATATGAGCAGATGCTGGGCAATGTCTGCAGGTGATGTGAAGACACAGGGCTGAAGGTCCCTGGGCAGTACAGAGTCCCACAAAACACCGGTTATGGCACCCGCCACCATAGCTTGCACCCAGGGGGAAAGCAGGCAGCCCTGTGTGAGCTGGTATCCCAGTGGAATGCCCTCACAAAGTCCCCAAATCACAGTCCACTCCAGTACTTGTGCTCATGAGGACAGAGCAGGTTTTTTTTAAGTTCAGAAACCAGCAGTCTGCCACAAGGGTGAGGGGAGCCGAGGACCTCTCCACCTACCCTTTCCATGTAATATTAAGGCCCTGTTCAATCTCTGCCAGCTTCTTCTTTCTTTTTCTGTGTCAAAGCTTCTTCCTGAGAGCTCTCCAATAGACTCCAGCACTCTCCCCTTAGCACTCCACTTCAGCTGTGATTATCCACCTGTAACTTTGGTTCTTCTTTCTGGAGAGAATTGGTGTTCAAAGTCTCTAGTCAGCCAGCTGGGGGAAAAGAAAACTCTAAAGTCTATTTGAAGAAGCAATATTATTACACTTCTTATAGGACAGATAGACAATTGAACAAAATGACAAGCTCCTATAATAAACATCCCCTGAGCAAATGACATTATTCCACTTGAGAAACAAGGCAGCTATAAGAAATCAATGAAAAAATGAGGTTCACATTGGGGCCTGTGTGTTGTCTCCCATAGCAGGTATGGGAGCCTCACCTGGACTCGCTGGTGCTTTAGCAGTGCCTCACCCAGTGATAGCAAGAGGAGACGTTCTGGCTTTTCAAGTGAAGGAGACGGTCCGGAAGTATTTCCCTGAGACCTGGATCTGGGACTTGGTGGAACTCGAGTAAGTTGTATGTTGCCTAGAATTTAGCCTAGGAGAGGATTCGAATCCTGCTTTATCATTCTGATGTCATCCCGGGATTCCCGATCCTTTCAGATCTGCTCCACTCTTTTCTGGGAAATATTTAGGTTCACAGTTTACTTATCTCATAGCTAAATAATGCTAACTTTTTCTAATTTGATCCTTAGATAACTAAAATAATAGAAAGCAAGAAGCTACTATCCTCTTTAAATAAAAGGAAGGGAAGGGAAGGGGAAAAGGAAGGAAGGAAGGAAGGAAGGAAGGAAGGAAGGAAGGAAGGAAGGAAGGAAGGAAGGGAGAGGGAGGAGGGGAGGGAGGAGGAGGGAGAGAGGGAGGAGGGAGGGAGGGAGGGAGGGAAGGGCTTTTAAAAGACAGCACTAGGAGCACCAAACTTTAGATCACGTTTAGCATTTACCACACTAGGTTACTGAGTTATCATGTTCTAGGATCAGCTATGGTTTGTTCTAAAAAAGAGATTTATTCACATGCTACTTCTTCTTTCCTTCACTAGCCCAGCAGGTGGAAGCGAGTTAGCTATGAAGGTCCCTGACACCATCACTGAGTGGAAGGCCAGCGCTCTCTGCTTGTCTGGAACTGCAGGGCTTGGCCTCTCTCCTGTCGTCTCTTTTGTAGTCTTCCAGCCCTTCTTCCTAGAACTCACCCTCCCCTATTCCGTGGTGCGAGGAGAAGCCTTCACGCTCAAAGCCACTGTGTTCAACTACTTGTCCCAATGCATTCGGGTAAGGGCACTTCTCTGGAAAAGAGTGAAAACAGAAGGAAGGAACATAATCACCATGCTTTACCTAGGTCTCTAGGTAATGTAGTGAATCAGAACTGAATATGATCTATATTAATTTTGGAACAGAACAGATACTAAGAGCAAAGCTACCTGACAGCTCCAAAGTGGTAAGGTTGTATTTATCCAGTCCTCTATATCTGAGTATTCCTAAATTCACACATGATATCCACCTGATTACTTCACTTTTTCGCTCTGACTAAAGAGAACATATCGTTCTTGTGTTGGCACTAGACAAAAATCCTAAGCATTTATCCTAGTTCCTGTCAGTTTTTCAATTCCCTTATTGCAAACATCTAAACTCTAAAGCATTTGGTAGGATTTGCCATTTTTGAAAAGCTTGCCAAAGCCTCTGGATGGTTATGCATTGTCCCTCCCAGCTTCTCCCCCCTGCCCTCTACCTGTGTTCCTTCACAAACTTGTGGCTGGTGTCGGGGCAGGTCAGTGTGCAGCTGGAGGTCTCTTCTGCTTTCCTGGCCATCCCAGTGGAGAAGAATGAAGAATCTCACTGTGTCTGTGGAAATGGAAGGAAAACCTTGTCCTGGGCTGTGACCCCAAAGTCACTGGGTGAGTGCTAATGCTCTTAACAAATTCCACTTCATGTGTTGTGATGATTTGCTTTCCACTCTGACCCCAATGCAGGCATTTGCACCTCCTTTAACACTCATCAAGAGAAAGAAAGCCATTAAATATAGTGGGAATGTTAAAAAGAAGAAACTATTCATATAGAATCACTGCTTAACTCCTTAAGAACCTTATTCCCTAGGAAAAGTGAATTTCACAGCTACTGCAGAAGCTTTGCAGTCTCAGGAATTATGTGACAATGAGTTGCCTGAAGTCCCAACACTTGGACAGAAGGATACTATAGTCAAGCCCTTACTAGTTGAGGTATGTGGGTATATGCTTTCTGAGTCTCAGAGGCCTTATTATATAATATAGCATTATCTAACATGTATGTGGCAGTGACACTTCATTCCCAAGACTATGAATGTGTCACCAACTCAATTATTCACTAACATTTTCTTTTCTACTTTGAAGTGATTCATTTTCCTTCTACGCATTCAGTAGCACTTTACTTTTTCATTGTTTTTCTGTCAATACATAGCCTGAAGGTATAGAAAAGGAGGAAACTTTCAACACACTGCTCTGTGCATCAGGTAAGTGTAAAAAATAGATTAAATTTTCATGTTTGGCCACCTGCCAGAGTATATTCCATAGTTGTGGAATATCCTTTGGGTCATACTTTCCTCTGAACAAAACAAAAACAAACAAAAAAAACCTCTTACACTCTCCCATGTGCAGAGCTAAGAACATCTGATGAAAACATTTTCCTGATGAAAATTATTTAGAATTAGGTTCAATTTTCTTAAAGGAATGAATGGAAAATACTGTTGAAGGTGTTATTATTACCATATTTTAAGAAGAAGCAGACATAGAGAAATTAAAAGACTTGCCTAAAAGCTCTTGGCTAATTATGAAGACAAAAGCTACTGATCCCAGGACAAGATTCTTTCTACTATATCTGTGTTTCCCAAATGTCTTCCTAAACTGTGTTCAAAATATTGAAATATCTGTGTGGCACTAACTAGGATTATGTATTACTCAATTAATAGTTTAAATGTACTTATGTTTTTACTTAAGCAAGTTATTTTAAGAGGAACTCCAGGTCACTAACATATATAGAACACCAATATTTTACTCATATTGTTAATACAATTATATAAAAATCATTAAAAACTTCAACTCTGTGCCATCTATTAATAGAATCACCTTGAGGACAGTGCTCACGCTGCAGATCTCTCTTCTCTACATGAGCATCCCTTGATAATCTCACCTAGTCACATGACTTTAATAACAACTGCGTACTAGAGGCCATAAAATTCACATCTGTGGTCCACACCCTTCTCCTGAACTCAAGTTCATGTGTTCAACTGCCTACTCATCATCTCCACTTATAGGCTTGTCGGTCTAATAGGCATCTCAAAAGGAGCATGTTCCAAACTGAACCTCTTCTGGGCCCTAGAAACCTGCTCCTCCCACAATTTTCTTCATCTCAGATGATGGAAATTCCATTCTTCGACTTGCTGGGCACAAAAATTTTGGTGTTCTCCTTTATTATGTTCTGTTACACTCCACACCCAATCATTCACAAATCTAGCCAGCTCCACCTTCAGATTATATCCAGAATCTGTCCACTTCTCACCACATCCACTACTTTAGTCCTTCTTCTCCTGTACTATCTCAATAACTTCATAACTGGTCTCCTGGTCTTCTCCCCTTAGTCCCCTACAGAAAGAGGGATCCTTTAAAGCATATGTCAGATCATGCACTTCCTTTGCTCTAACCTTTCAGGGATTTTCCATATCCCTCAAAAGCAAAGCCTAAGTCTTTAATGTCACCTGCAAACCCCCACCTACCCCATGACTTTATAGCCTACCATCTGTCCCCCACCCTCCTTGTTCCAGTTACACTGGCTCCCTTCCTCCTCTTGAAATACACTCAGGCATGCTTCAATCTCTGGAGTCTTTTTACTTTTTGTTCCTTTTTCCTGGAAGTATCTTCCCCAAGTATCTGTCAATCTTACTTCCAACTTACTGAGAGTCACTCACATATGACTTTTTATTAAGAACCACGTAATTGGGATCCTCCTCCCCACACTCTGCACTTCCTGATTTGCCTTGTTTTACTACCTCACTCAATAAACTTTTGGCCTTTAATTTTCTCTATAGCACTTATCAATGTTCATCGTGCCAACTACCTTGCTTACTTACTTATCTTACTTCTCCCATAAAAGTGAAAGCTCCAGGAGATTGGGAATTTTGTTTTGAAAATTGCTATATCAGTGCACTTAAATCTGAACCTCATACATAGCACACACTTAATACATATTTATGGAATGAATGTGATTATTAAAAAATGCTAACAGTAGTAATTAATATAAATCATAAAGAGAAGGAAATAAGTATACTATAAGTATATGCTTACAAGAAAAGCCATAAAAATGTAGCACAAATATATATGATTAATATTACCTTCACAGAAAGATTAATCATGACTTTAATAGAAACTTGTATTGCATCAAAGAAATTATATGATGACAATGAGAAATGAAAGATTGGATCTAGATCATATAAGGAAAAAGATTCATAACAAAAATAGAAGATTTATCTCATTTTCTCCTTTCTTACATGTGTTTGTCTTCTTTCATTAGATACTGCAGTGACTGAAAAGTTGTCACTGACTGTTCCTTCAAATGTGGTCGAAGGATCTACCAGGGCAACATATTCAGTTTTGGGTGAGTCTCTAAGCCCAAGGGAAGCAGCTGCCCATCCCTATAATTCTAATGCAGAGCCTCCCTATCCATGATTAATAGAGTCCCTGACACTAGGCATAGCTAAGAGTTGCACTATGTGTTAGTTGGAAATGGGGTCAAACAGATGTTGTGCTACATATCTTGATAAACTCTAAAAAGTAAGGAGACATCAGAAAAGATATATTGCTTGCCATTCAGTTTGTTTCCTGCTTTTTCCATCCTTGAGTTGTCTACTTTCTCTTCTCACCATTTTCTTTCCTTCCTATTTCTTGTTTCTTCTCCTTTTGTGCATTCTTACCCTTTGCTCCATACATAATTTGGCCTTTCAGTTAGCTATCCCAATCTATTTTTCTAGTGCAATACAAGCCAGCTCTGTGATCCTTTCATTTCTCTATAACTTTCATTCCCCAGGTGATATACTAGGCTCTGTAGTAAGAAACCTTCAGAACCTTCTCCAGATGCCCTATGGTTGTGGAGAGCAGAATATGGTCCTTTTTGTCCCTAACATCTATGTTCTAAGGTATCTGAATGAGACCCGACAGCTGACAGAGACGACCAAGGCCAAAGCCATCAGCTACCTCATCAGTGGTGAGATATTACCTCAAAAAGAGAAACCCATAATTGATCTCCTAATTTTTTGGTGATCTCAAATGATCTCTTTGATTAATATGTGATAGTCACTGTTGCTGTGATTTCCAATAAAATGTCTATAGAAAATTTGATGGTATCATCAAGTCTTAGGGACATTTTTGTAAAATAATAGTTACCCTATGATTCCTCAATGGCACAGAGGAAGAAACTCAATAATCCTTTAATGTCTCTGCTATTTCATAAATCTATGAAAACTTCCTCTTTAGGGTACCAAAGGCAGTTGAATTATAAGCACAGCGATGGTTCATATAGCGCCTTTGGGGATCGTGATGGTAGCAGTCAGGGAAACACTTGGTAAGACAATTATTTCCATATTCTCTCTGCAGATCCATGACACTTAAGAATTCTAGAAATAGCTACTCTCTAATATCTGGAGTTATTTCTGGAAAATTGTTATTCTTTCAAAAGCCACATGCCGTATGTGTTATCCCTACTGGGCAATCTCACCATTTCATCTCTGAAAGCATGCATGCTCTGATGGTACAGCAGATACTGGCAAAATAAGGATCCCCAAAATGGAAACATAAGGCAGAGAGTGTCATTATGTAAAATGAAAGAGAAAGAAACTTTCACACAGTACATTAAAGAAGGAGAGGAGGAGGAGGACAGAAAGAAACTATAATGTAAAATCAAGAGAAGTCATTAAGGAAATGCAGTTTTGATGGTGGGGAGAGTTGGAGGATCCAACAAATATTTCATTGGGAAAAAAGAAATGAAAAGCATCAACTCTGGGGAACCAGTTAAGTTGAGATATTTAAAAATATAGATTCAGGGCTGGGCGCAGTGGGTCATGCCTGTAATCCTAGCACTCTGGGAGGCTGAGGCGGGCGGTGGATTGTTCAAGTCAACTTGAGCAAGAGTGAGAGCCTGTCTCTACTAAAAATAGAAATAAATTAATTGGCCAACTAAAAATATATGGAAAAAATTAGCCTGGCATGGTGGTGCATGCCTGTTGTCCCAGCTACTCGGGAGGCTGAGGCAGGAGGATCGCTTGAGCCCAGGAGATTAAGGTTGCTGTGAGCTAAGCTGACGCCATGGCCCTCTAGCCCGGCAACAGAGTGAGACACTGTGTCAAAAAAAAAAAAAAAAAATAGATTCATATGTTTGCTGGACTAGAGAACATTCAGTTCTCAAGTATAGTTTCCCCAACAATTTCCTCCACTGAATTGTGAAGTTCAATGTCTGGAGGCAGTGTACAAAGTGAGCTCTAAAAATGAGGTGGTCCTCATGTTTCCACCTCTCTTTTGCTGGACAGGCTCACAGCATTTGTGCTCAAGTCCTTTGCTCAAGCCCAGTGGTACATCTTTGTGGAAAACTCACACATCATGAATGCCCTCACCTGGTTGTCACAGAAACAAAAGGAAAATGGTTGTTTCCAGCGCTCTGGATCACTGCTAAACAATGCCATGAAGGTGATGCCTTCTCTCATTTTGTTCTGTTCCCTGGAGGTAGTGATATGTAGGAGGGAATGATGTTTATATTGAGTCCTACAGCCCCTTTGGCATAGCTTTCAGGAAGGATGGTGGACTCTAAAGCTCCTGAAATTTAGCAATGTTAGCAGCTTTTCTAATTGAGCGGAAAAATAGTATTCAAAAAAAAGTTAGGGAAGGTGATTTGGGAGAATCTCAAGTATTTTAGGGCAAAGGAGGATGAGGGAACATCAACAATATGGCAGAAGAAAAGAAACTATCTAGGGAAGATGCCAAAGGGAAAAGGAGAGTTAGTAGACTCTGGCTAATGACTGCTGGAGTGTTTGAGGCTCTCTGCCTCTGGTCCTTACAGGGCGGGGTGGACGACGAGGTGACACTCTCTGCCTACATCACCATTGCTCTGCTGGAGATGCCACTGCCTGTCACTGTATGTACAAGCACATTCCCTCTACCTCCCTCCCAGTTGTAAGGAGTAAAAATAATGACACTATGAATCCCTGAAGAAAATTAGTTGTGGTTTTCATGATATTTAATTTGGTATATTTCACTGGAATGTCAAAGGACCACATCATTTTGGAAGCTGCAGGGAAAACTATTCTTGGGTTAGAACCGTGATGTTGCATGGGTGCATTGGGGTTTCTAATCTGCGGTTAGTTTGGGGACAGTTCATTTGCCTAGTTCTGCTATTTTAGGACTGCCTTTCATCTTCTTTGTAGCACCCAGTTGTCCACAATGCTCTGCTCTGCCTGGAAAAAGCCTGGAGCTTCACCTCTGAGGCCCATGGAAGTCTTGTCTATACCAAGGCATTATTGGCCTACGCCTTTGCCCTAGCAGGAAACCAGGCCAAGAGAAGAGAGCTGCTTGAGTCACTAGACAGAGAGGCTGTGAAAGAAGGTAAGAACTGCTACTGCAGAATTCCCTTCTAACAATCACCAGTGATCAAAAGAAGGCAGAGTACCTCTACCGAGTTCACACCTATCATGCTACCTTAATTTTAATGACCATAAGAAATTATCATTGATCTAACACTTACAATCTCTAGGCAACCTGGAGCACTTTATCAACCCATCCATTATAGACTCTTATACAGCCACAACTTCTAATATCACACAAGTATGTAATGGTCACGAAGACTCAGGATGATCAGCTTGTACTTTATTTTCTTGGCAAATATTTGTTCGATGATGACTAACACTTTTTACTTCATTTACGTCAATTAATTAGGTGATCTCTAATTATCATCATTTGTGGATTAAATTTTGAAACCATTCTATGAGCTTAAAGATTCTACACTTTTCCATTTCAAAGAGGATTCAATCCACTGGCAACGTCCTGGGAAACTTCAAGAAGCTAAGACCCTTTATCACCAACCCCGGGCTCCTTCTGCAGAAGTGGAGATGACATCTTACGTGCTCCTTGCCTATCTCACTGTCCAGCATGCCCCATCTTCAGAGGACCTGCTCGTGGCATCACGTATTGTGAAGTGGATTACCAAGCAGCAAAACCCCTATGGGGGCTTCTCCTCCACTCAGGTCTGTGGAACAGAAACAAGTATATTAACACATATGTAGACACAACCGTATTTTAGGGGTTGAACAATTGAATGGTTCGCATTTCTAATGCACACCTTCCCCATCGCTGTCACCTGCCCTGCTACTTTTTGTGCGAATTGCTGCTATGCCTTCTACACTCCCTTGTTTCATCTCTCTGTAGTGCAGCCCCAACAGTACAGGTAGGTCAATCTTCCCAAAGCAATGTTGTCATGGGATTACTTTCCTCAGATAGGAAATTTTTTTTACCCAAATCCTAAAATTATCTGATATTTTACCCCCAGCCTGGCACTCCCCGATGACCCTTTCCATCTACATAAACCCTCCTCATTACTCAAAGATAATCTTCTCTCTCATCTTCTTCAGTCTTCTCTTACTGTTCTAGCCCAGATTTTCCTCTCCCTTCTCCTAACTTTTATAACAAATATTGTCACATACATTTGTAGATGATTGAAATAGTCTCCATTTGTGTCAAGTATTTGTTACCTCCACATGCATATTGCGAACTATTTGAATGAAGAAACATTTTTTCACTTCCTCCTAAATTACCTAGAATAATTCATCATTAATAACCAGGTGTGAACTGAATTAAAATTGAGTTCATGGATTGTGTTTATGACTAAATAATTCTAAAGGAAGATAGTGTCGTTACGGTTTATATCCAGTGTGATTTTGCTGCCTTCCTCTCCTGTGATTTCTGCGCCCATCTTTTTTCAGGACACAGTGGTAGCTCTCCAAGCTCTCTCCAAATATGGAGCAGCAACTTTTAGTAAAAGTGAGAAATCAGCTTTGGTCACCATCAAATCTTCAGACACTTTCTCTAAAGAATTCCAAGTAGACGAAGCCAACCGCCTCCTGCTACAGGAGGTCGGGTTGCCAGAGATTCCGGGGGAGTACAGCACCACCGTGTCGGGGTTAGGATGTGTGTACCTCCAGGTGAGACTAAGGGGCTGCCGCAAATGGGAGAGAAAGTCTCAAGAGTTAAATTTGAATTTCAAAATAAAAAGAAAAGAAATGTGTGCTAAGGGAAGATCTGAATAATCTGGAACAGATTATTGGAACCCAAAGATAAAGGACTTTTTTCATTTATTTTAGACATCCCTGAGATATAACATACTTCCCAAGAAAGACAAGAAAGCACCCTTCGCTCTGCAGGTTGATACTGTCCCCAAGAACTGTGATGAAGTAGATGCTCACAGAAAATTCCAGATTCACATTAATATTAGGTAAATCCTAAATCATGACTAGACTTTTTGTAGAATATGGAGAAATTGATTATTTTTGTGGGGGGAGAACTTCATTGTCCAAAGTCACACATAATAAATATGGAATAATTGTGGAATTTATTAAAAAGAAAATTTTCTTGACTTGCTGAAATGCCTTAGTGTTAATAATATGATGTTGCCATATCTGAAAAATGTGAATTTAAAATGGTGGGTTTTTCAAACAACCATAACAGAAGCACATATGGTAGAAAGAGAAACTGGGTGGTAGAAATAAAGAGGAAGGGGAGAGTTCTGCCTTCAATGAATTCCAAGGAATCTTATTCGAATGTCCCATCTCTTTGCCTTGCCTCAATAGTTATACTGGAGACCGACCCAGCTCCAACATGGTCATTGTTGACGTGAAAATGATATCAGGCTTCATACCTGTGAAACCATCAGTAAAAGAGGTAAACTCTAAATCCCTTACAGAAAGCAAAGTCATGATAAATGCCAACATTGATGCTCATCATTTTGACTACATTGATGCAGTTTTCAAGAGGTTTACACCCTCAAACTTGCTTCTTCAGAGTGCATTTTCATAATTTTAATGGTGGATATCATGGTTATATGGCATTAATATGGGGCACAGTTAGAAACATAATAAACAATGTTCCACAAAACTTTGAGACATATAGGTATACAGAGTGGTATTATCTTCCAACTATACATATAAAAAAAGGGTATATATGCATGTATATGTATACATATTAATATATCACATATAGATATCTGTATATAAATGTAGCATATATATAAAAAGAGATAAGTATTCAGTAAATATTACTATTATTATCGTTATGATTATTACAATTATTCTTAAAGCAATCAAAATTAGCAGTTTGGATATTCCAAGAAGCCATTTAGAACATAAATATCTAAAATCTTCTCCCAGTATAAAATGTCCTCATTCCATATTTCTGGCTTATCCTCTTGGTCAACAGCTCCAAGAAGGGCCTCAGATTCAGAGGGCTGAAGTGAGCACCAACCATGTTCTGATTTACTTTGAAGAGGTAAGATTCTGTGGCTCTGCTAGATCTGGAAGAACTAGTAGAGGTTCTAACAAACCAAAACAGATTCCAAACAGTGCTGTTCATGTACACAGGTGAAGGAGGGCAACATAGCCACAAAGGGAAATGAAGCCTGGACCAATTAACAGGACCAATTAATTTATCACATTTCGCTCTCCACACAACTGCCTCTTTTGTCCTTCTTTTATCCATCACTATGTTATGCAGCTCACAAAATGCCTCAGTCTTTCCACAGGTTTTGGCATAGATGAGTAGCATAACTACAGGGTTTGATAGTGTCTTAGGAAGAGAAGATAGCAACTAGTAACTAAGTTAATCTTTGATTCCAATTCAGTTTTCCTGTCTCTCCAGCTAACCAATCAAACCCGGAGTTTCTCCTTTTCAGTGGAACAAGATGTCCAAGTAGAGAATTTAAAACCAGCTACAGTAAAAGCCTATGATTATTATGAGACAGGTGAGTGGGATTCAGACATGCTGAGCTTTGAAAAGCTGGTGACTAACCTAGTAAAGGATCGCCTTAAAGGAAACAAAATTCCACAATCTTTTCCTGGAAGAAAAAGTGAGTTTATGCTCACTGGGTAATCATTTTCTTGTAAGCTAACCTCTGATGTGCCCTCCCCCACCAACACATCTTAGAGCCATTCCTATAAATTGATCATGGAGCAATAACGTCATCAATTCTAAATTTTCCTATGAAGTTGTTTGTTCTTGGATGAATTATTCCAGAAAGATAAAAAGAATAATAATAACGTAAAAAAAAGAACACACACACATATCTCAGTACCAATGTGCGATGTGAAACCTAAAATTTGATGTGTTTTTGACTTATGCTTTGGATAGTCTCACAGAATTTGGGAAATTTTGCAATATACCAGGAAATTCTTCCATTTGCTCTTGACTTTGACTTAGAAACTTGCCAGCATGATAGCATGCTGGTAGTGTTAAAATTATCTCATTAGGTTAAGTAAAGGTTCAGAGAAGAAGCTACAGCTCCAGTGGGAAAAACGCAACTATGAAAGGGATGATGCAGAGTCCCATATTTATACACAGGCACACCACCTGTGTAACTTGCCCCTCAATTCTGTACCCAAGCCCAATTTTCTCTTAGTTCCCTCTCCCTAATCTCAACAATTTAATATAGAAGCCAGTCATTTTTATTGGCTCTCTAGCTATGCTTTATACTTTCTTTCTCAGTTTACATAGTTTATTTACAGTTAACATCTCAGATGTCTATGACTGAATGTCTTCACTCCTTCTTTCCAATCATTGGTTTTGTTTCAGATGAATTCAGCATTGAAGAATACAGTGCCCCTTGCAGTGCTGGTAAAGTATAAACAATAAAATCTAATGCCAACTTAAAGACAATCAGTAAGCATCTCATTTCTCTGCATAAGGCTCCTTCTTAAGATGTGTATTTTTTTCATATTATAAAAAATCATGTTGTATCCTTTATTAATTGAACTATATCAAGTGAATTATAAAATTTCTTAGTAGAACAACATGCAAATACAATATAATTACTGGTGTATGAAGTGGCTTGTTTGAAGATGAATCCAAGAATTTGCCACATACCAAAATTAAATTATCTAATATTTAGTTTACTTTCTATACCCAGTGGTGCTATCTTATATGCATGAAGGATGTGATCTATAAGACTTGCCTTTTATGCTAGCTGACAATGTTCATTTTTTATAGCATTTGCTGGGAGACTTTTGGCTCTCCACTTTAAAATAAGAAAAGATTGAGAGCAGCCCTATGATTAAACATAATTAAAAGCTACTAATGGCCGGGCGCTGTGGCTCACGCCTGTAATCCTAGCTCTTGGGAGGCCGAGGCGGGCGGATTGCTCAAGGTCAGGAGTTCAAAACCAGCCTGAGCAAGAGCGAGACCCCGTCTCTACTATAAATAGAAAGAAATTAATTGGCCAACTGATATATATATAAAAAATTAGCTGGGCATGGTGGCGCATGCCTGTAGTCCCAGCTACCCGGGAGGCTGAGGCAGAAGGATCACTCCAGCCCAGGAGTTTGAGGTTGCTGTGAGCTAGGCTGACGCCATGGCACTCACCCTAGCCTGGGCAACAAAGCGAGACTCTGTCTCAAAAAAAAAAAAAAAAAAAAGCTACTAAGTCCAAATATTTATAATTTAAATACAAAAAAAAAACATTTTTAGTAGGTTACAGAATTTCTCTAGTATTTCTACCTTTTCTCCCACTGTTTAGAATCTGAACAAACAAATGCTTGAAAATAGAAACTGTGGACCTCATCAGATGAACTTCTCGAAAAATGAAGAACAAAGACTTAGGAGAGAGGAGAGAAGAGAACTGGAAATACATAAAATTTGTATGTTGAATAAATTTGTGACATTTGCAACTTTTTTTGTTCTTTATCAATATCATATTTCCTTTCCTGAATATGTGTTTATCCTCTTTAGCATTTTTTAAATCACCAAAAAACTGTACAAAGAGTTACACTCAAAAACACTGTGGATGGATCAAAGTGACATTCAAAAAATTATTCAATTAACCCTCAAAAAGATGGAAAAAGAAAACAATGTTTCTAAACATTGAAAACAACCAAAATTTCCATCAGTAGGTAAATGGCTTAACAAACTGGTATATCCATACCATGGAATGTACTGGGCAATAAAAAGAAAAAAAAACAATTGCTATGCACAACAACTTGGGTGTATCTCAAAAACATGCTGAGTGGGGGGAAAAGACCAATAGCAAAAGGTCATATATTGTATAATTCTTTGTATACATTCTTTAAATGGCAAAATTATAGATATAAAAAAAACAGTGGTTTCCAGGGGTTATGGATGGTAGGGGGAGGGTATGGGTGTGACTATAAATGGGTAGCACTAGAGAAATCTTTGTGGTGACAAAATCCTACATGTGTGGAAGCAAAAGTCCTCATTCAAATTTTTACATTTAATTCCATCTCAAATTATTTTGTTGTGTATTATTAGGTGGTAAGTAGGTGTGTATATAAATTGACTTTTTTCTTATGTAGCTTACCAATAGTCCTGTTATCATTGATTGTCCAAGTCAATCTTTCCTTGCTAATAAAATGTGCCTCCATTATCAGATATTAAACTGTCATCTAAACTAAGGCTTGTTTCTGAATGGTCTATACTATCTATTGAGTAGCTGGTCTATTCTTTCATAAGTATTAAAGTATTTGAATTACTGTGGCTTAATAAAGTGTTTTAATAACTATTATGGTGATCTCATTTCTTTGTTTTCATTTTTTCTGTGTACTGCTAAGCTCATTATTTATTCCAGGTTAAAACCGAAATATTTTATCAAGTTAATTATACCCATAATGATATTGGGCATTCTTTGGAATTGCATTAGGAATGAATTTATAATCATCATGAATGTCAATTTTTTATAATATTGAATCTTATTTATTCAGACTCATTTTATCTTCATTTATTCAATTCACATGAAGTGAATTCTAATTCTGACTTAATTTCTAAATTTGGACTGAACTACAAAGTTAAAATTAAAGATTAACTTCATGGACATACATGAGGGCTGTCCAGAAAGTATCCAGCCATGTCATATGAAAAGTTATATTAACAATGGCTGGATACTTTCCAGACAGCCCTCATATAGTAGGATAAATTAAAAGAATAAAAAATATATATATAAGTGGAGACAAAAAAATGTGAGCAAAAATAAAATTATAAGATAGTGAGAAACCAGAACAATATTTCTCATTTGTTGATAGAAGTCACTGAAAGATTTTAAGCAAGAAAATAGTTCAGATTTGTGTTGTGGGGGTTAGTTCATCTACTGGGCAATGGCTACCAGAGGAAAACAAGGTTTTCCTGATCCCTGGCTACACCGCCCGTTCTTGCAGCTGAGCTCTCTTCTTCATGTTTAACCAAATTGTTTAGTAGACATCACTATATTGCACACTTATATAATTCCACACTTTGAAAATTATTTATTTTCCTCTCATCCATAAACTCAGATCTCTTTTAAAGCCAAACTTGTATCTTAATTATTTCTGTACAGTCTGTTCACCAACGCTGTGCTGGGAATACTGCAGGCACTCCTTAAACAAAGGGGTGATTGAGTGAGTTAGAGCCTGAGTGAGCCCCTTCCTGGAGGTCGTAGGAAGAGAAATGGAGCAGCACCAAGATGTCAGCATATACCAGTAGGGAAAATGACCTAGAAGATCATTTTGACTCAAACTTGGCTTGAGTTGCTTAATGTTCCACAAACATTTTAAGGAATAAAAGTTTCATATTTTTCAAAAGTCAAGTAAGTGTGGAGAAAAAGGAATTTGGTTCATGTATTAAGACTTTGAGCTAAACTTGTTTAAAAGTACATTTTATTCATTCTGTGGGCTCTAAGATAGAAATCACTGCCTCTATCTCATAAAAGTGGCTGTCAACAATCATCAAAAAGGTAAATATAAATTATCTCCCTTGTAGTTTGAATCATGTCCTCTAAAAAGATATGTTGCAGGAAGATTTATGGAAATCACCGCATGCCCACATCCGTATTTTATGTAGTTGTACGGAAGGACTCAGTGATCTCGTAACTAATTCGTAGGTGCGCCCATATGCAGTTTCCACCATTGATTCTATTATGATGCCAAACTAAAAACCTAAGAGGCTAATTTTTCCTCAGAGAGGGGCAGTCCATGAAAATAAATGTAAAATGGTGATATTAGTGATAGTGTAAAAGAGTAGCATACACCTGTTTTATACACCTGGGAAAATTGGTCCTTCTTAGAGATCTAATGAATGTGTGTGTGTGTGTGTGTGTGTGTGTGTTTGTTCTCCAGTAAAACTGAACATATTAAAGCACATTAAAGACACATTAAAAACAGAGTAGGAGATAAAAAGAGCAAAAATATTACAGCCTGCAAGTTGACATTTTCCTGAAAAACTTTCATGCTTATTAGCTTCAAAAGTCTTTACATAAAACTTTGCATATATTTTGTTACGGTGGTTTTCAATTTTCCCTTCAAAATAATAAATTGATACTTTATGCAAGCAGGTTATTAGGCACAAATATAAAGAATCAGTAACAGAAAAAAATTTAAATAAAATAAAATAAAAAGATATGTTGAAGTCTTAAACCCCAATACCTATGAATGTGACCTTATTTAAAAATAAGGTCTTTGCAGATGTAAGTTAAGATGAGGTCATAATGGAGTAGATTGGGCCCTTAATCCAATATGACTGGTGTCCTGCAAGAAGAGAAAATACATGCACAGAGGAAACATGATGTGAAGAGACACCGGGAAAACTTCTTGTGATGATGGAGGCAAACAGAGGAACATTAAGAATTTCCAACAACACAGAAGCTAAGACAAAGGCGCTAAAACATTTGGAGGTAGCATGGCCCTTACCGCTACCTTGATTTTGGACTTCCAGCCTCCAGTACCATTAGAGAATAAATTTCTGTTGTGATAAGCCACAAAGTTTATAACACTTTGTTAAGGCAGCCCTAGGAGAATACTATAATCTCCAATTAAAATAATATATCTTCATCCATTGGTCCACTTTACTTAGTTTTTTCTTATTTGTCTTTTAAGTTAGAACAAATAAGTAAGCAGATTCAAATGATTGGGTGGAGGACAGAGAATATAAGGAAATTTCTATTTGTTTTATGTAGTTCCACACAGTTTGTTTCACATTAAAAATGTCTTGTCTGATAGCTTAAAATAAGGAAACAAAAAATAAAATCTGGCCAGGAACAATGGCACATGCCTGTAATCACAGCTACTTGGAAAGCTGGGGCAGGAAGATTGCTCTAGCTCAGGAGTTCGAGATCAGCCTGGCAACATAGCAAGACCCTGTCTCTATAAAAATAAAATAAATAAAATAAAATCTAACATGTGGAGTCCAGTTTTTTTTCTAGCCCTCTGCCATACTTAGAGCTTATCTCAAAAAAAGAAAAATCTCTCCTCTTTGTTAAAGTTCTCCAAGAAGAATTTTCTTGTTTTATTCTCCTGTGGTCATGAAGAAAATAAAAACACTACTCATAATTAGAAAATAAATCCATGAGCTATTAATATTTCTGGAATGCCACGAGCCATTAATGTCTCTGGAATTCAATGCAAGTTTGGGTGAAAAGGTGTAGAATTTGAATCTGATCCGGTGTACCCCCAAAGGAATGTCTGACTAGTATTTAATTCAAAGTGGAAGTATTATTGAAGACTTTTCTTCTTAATAATTCTTAAAACATAAATAAGTCACTGTTATTTAACAATAGTATGAGAAATATCTTCATGCTTTTAACTTAATATTTTCAGAAGTTTTCCTTATAAAATTTAATAATGAGAATTAATGAGATAACATTAAAACAAAGAATACTCCAATACTAAAGGTAGTAAAGATTCTATGGGGACTGAAGTTATTATTAAACAGGCATAATAGACACTGAGGCCCCCCTACCCCCGCCGCCACCGTCTAGGGACCTGCTGTACAATTAGGCCACCATCTTCAATGAGTAAACATATTCCTCAGTTCTGTGGTGTTCTTGGTCGCACATTTATGGAGTTTCTGAAGGGCAGTGGAGATGACTGCCAGGCACAGCACGACCTCTATGCAGACAAGCGAACTGGAGAAATTCATTACTACTCCACCAAGAAGCCTCCATAAGAGTGGTGGACCTGGACACAGCAGTGTTGAGATGAAATCCGCAGAGCATTTTCACAAGAGTTCTGACCTGGATGGGGTAAATCTCAGTGCACATCCTTTCTGTTGCCTCAGTATTACTGGGTTGAAGAATTGCTGCTTCTTGTTAGCACGTTCATTTCATTCATCATTACTTCCAACTTCATACTCAAAACACTGAGTATTTCAAGTGGAGTATATTGACGTAGACTTCAGTTTCTTCGCATCATTTCAGTATTCAATATTTTAAATTCTTTCATAACCCTATTGAGTGTTTTTTAACTAAATTAACATGGCTCGAATGAACCTCCCAGCTCCTGTAGAAGTCACATACAAGAACATGAGATTTTTTATTACACACAATCCAACCAATGCGGCCTTAAACAAATTTACAGAGGAATTTAAGAAATGTGGAGTTACCACAATAGTAAGAGTATGTGAAGCAACTTATGGCACTACTCTTGTGGAGAAAGAAGGCATCCATGTTCTTGACTGGCCGTTTGATGATGGTGCACCAGATTGTTGACTGGTTAAGTCTTGTTAAAATTCAAGTGTCATGAAGAACCTGGTTCATTGTGTTGCAGGCCTTGGGAGAGCTCCAGCGCTTGTTGCTCTTGCAGTAATTGAAAGTGGAATGAAATACGAAGATGCAGTACAATTCATAAGACAAAAGCGGCGTGGAGCTTTTAACAGCAAGCACCTTTTGTATTTGGAGAAGTATCGTCCTAAGATGCGGCTGCAAGTCAAAGACTCCGATGGTCGTAGAAACAACTGTTGGATTCAATAAAACCGGGTTGCCTGATGTTACTGCCTTAGAAGGAAAATTGGACACAGGACCTAATATGTCATATATATTAGTCAACATGTTGGCTTGATGAATAAGTCTAATGAATCTTCCATAAGAGTATTGTAAAGCAGTTTTACCAGGCCACAATTTTAACAGAATTGCAACCTGTGTCTCTGGGTTACGGTTAGCGTTTTTGGACACTTAGCAAAAGATTCTTGCTGTTCGGCATTTAAAATGTGCTTATCATTTGTACCAGTTGACCTTTCCTGAAATCATGTGGTATTGAGTTACGTCTTGTTTAAATCTATTCCCATGCCAGAATCTTATCAATATATAAGAAATTTAGAAAGATTAGGTGCCAAAATACCAAGCACAGTACTTGAATATTTTAGTATCATACAGAAATAAAATCCCAGAAACTATGAGCACTCTAGACTTTATATGGCTTATCCATTTCAGACATTGAAAGTAGGGCCTACATGGTTATTTGCCTGCTCACTTTATGTTTACATCTCCCCCATTTATACCAGTATACATCAGGTTTGCTTAAACATTGATTTTTTTAAATTATTTTTACCTAGTCTTACAGTGATTATTTAATGTCTTTCTGTAAATCTCATTTGGGGCCGTTATGAAAAACCTCCATTTTGAAAATCAA